CCCCCCCCCCCCCCCGAATGTGCCATTTCTTGTATCTTGAAGTTTTTGTCAACCAAGAAAAGGCAAGCACTGTTTTATACCGACATAGAAGGTACAATACTGGACGGCTGGAGGAAGTGGTCCCAGGGAACCTGGAGCGGGAGTGCATGGAAGAGAAGTGCAGTTATGAAGAAGCCAGAGAAGTCTTTGAAAATGACCAGAAAACGGTTAGTCTCGGCCTCTAGGCCATGACATCTAGAATGCTGCCATTCAAGCGCCCTGACTTGCCAGAAAAAGAGCATGCCTTAGAACCCTATACAAGCCTACTCAGAAGTAAGCCTCATGGCACCTGTTCATGTCTGACACAGCTGGGATTGGGTCCTTAAGGCATCCTGATACTGTTTGTGGTGCTGGTGAGGGGCTTTTTCCTGAGGATCCAAAGGTCAAGGCAAGCTGGCTGCTTCCTTGAGCTCTCAGCTGGGCCACGGAGAGCATAGGAAGGGGCGCTGGAGGTGTGGAGAGGGGACCAGTTCCTACTGGCATCTGAGCCCTCCCTGGTGCTTTGTCCAGGCTGCTGCAAATGGCCATCTAGCAAAATTGCACAGCACAAGAAGCGGGGTTGGTGCAGCTCTGCCAGCGAAGCTTGATCTGGACATTGGAAGCACCAGGCCTCCAGCATCAGAGGCCAAAGTGCATCTGGAGCAAGAGGTCTTTGGGCTGCACCTTCTGTGAGCTTTCCCAGAGGGCAAGTAGTGCGCCATTCCTTTCTAAGCATCACACAACATCATGGAACTTAATGCACATGTGCATGCACGCACACACACAGCTGCTAAAGGAAGCAGGCTTCTGAAGTAAGAGCTGCAGTATTCTGTGCATTATCGTTACTTTGCATTTATCTCCGGCCATTTTCCCCCTCTTGTGAGGAAGCCAGGGCAGCTTGCGTAGCTCCATTTCATCCTCACAACAACCTTGTGAGGTAGGCTAGGCTGAGATGAGTGACTGGCCCAAAGTCATCCAGGAAGCTTCATGGCTGAGTGAGGACTAGCACCCAGATCCCTGGGTCCAACATCCTAACTTCTACCCCTGCCTGCCTGCCTGCCTGCCTGCCTTCCCCCACTTTTTTTCATGCTCCTCTGAATCACCCAACATTCCAAGTCGTTTAACAGTTAATGATTTGCAGACGCTGAACATGCCTCCTGCTGTTGATAATGTGTTCCTTGGTTTTTCACTTTTAATCATTTGGTGTAATTCTTGCTTCGCTGGGCATGAGGAGTGTCAAAGGACTATATGAGATGCTAAAGCTATCGGGATCTTATTCAGTGACCCTTTGGCTTCAGTGATTTCAGAAGTTATAACCCTTCATGCTTCCTCACCCTGTATATATTTTAATTGTCATTGTTTTAATGTATTTGGTATTCAATGTTGTAAGCCGCCCCGAGGCCTTGGCAAGGGGCGGCATAGAAATGTTTTAATAAATAAATAAATAAATAAATATTTGCATCAGTGGCAACTAGAACCTTTAAAAATGGGGGTCAAACCTGAATTCTGTGGCAAATAGAATATTCTATGTTCTCTTGCAAATGTACTGCCCTGATATTTCCGGCAAATTCTGATTAGTACCATACTGCAAAGCTGAAATGCTATGCATGCTTCTTATTACCTCGACATTGCATTTTTACCCTGCCTTCATCCTCTTACAAGGAATTCAAGGTTCTCCATTTCATCCTCACAACAACAGTTGTGGGAGGGAGGTTAAGCTAAGTGTCCCAAAGTCACCCCATGAGCTACATACCAAGAGAAAACTAGAACCAGAGCTCTTAAATCCTAGTCTAACCACTAGACCACACTGCCTCTAAGTGTAATGGTGCTGTAATGCCATACATACTTGTGAGCAAGTCTCTCTGAATTCAATAGGAATTTCTTCCTCCTCCTCTCCTCCTTTTCCCTCTTCCACTTCTATGCCATATTTTGCTTCCTCCTGTGAGGAATCTAAGAAGGGTTGCCAAACTCACTCCATTTTATCCTCACAACAACAACATGAGACTCCTTGACTAGCCCAAAGTCACCCAATGAGCTTCATGGCTGAGTGGGGACCTCCTGAGTGCCAGCCAGACAGTCCCACACCTCCGAACACCCCACATCCATCACTGTGGTGTGTTGTTTTTCCTGTCTGAAATTGCGTAGGATTGTGCCCTATGGATGACCACCCATATGCCATAAGGGCAGCTTCTACACAGATGCAATGGTGCTCTGCTTGTGCTGATATTTCAATTGTGTTTCAGTTCTGCTTGTGTTGATATTTCAACTCTCCCTTGTAGATGGAATTTTGGCGTTTCTACCTTGGTAAGTGCTGCTATTTTAAAAAATTGCTCTTTGGCTACGTGCCAGTGCTGGGTATGCAAACATGGAAAGGCCCTTCCACGGACGCCCTGTGACTGCTTAGTTAGCCAAAGTGTTGTGGTGCCATGAGAAAGCCACTGCCACTCCTGGTGCTCCTTCCTTTGGCCACCTTTGGCAATTTGCTCCGTTAATTGGTTAGATTCATTTTTCAGGCATTTATTTCATTTCTTCCAGGAGTTGAGGGAAGTGTCTTTCACCACATATTCTCCTACCACTTCTATTTCCTTGCCAGGAATTAGACTACGGTTCACTCGAGGGCAGCTGAAGCGTAGTGGCAGAACAGCCGGCAGGCAAAGGGGCGGGCAGCTCTGGGGCTGCCTTCCACAGCAAGGGCACAGGGCCGATTTCCGTCTGTCTGCAGAAACTTTCCGGGGCCACATGCCATTGGTTGGGGCTGGGGGCTCAATGCAAATACAGCAGGCCCAAAATGTCAAAACCTGCCAGCTTTTTGAAGCTTACAGTGAGTGTTAGTACTGAGGTCTTTGCACAGACATTGGCACCTTTAGAAGGGGCGGAGATTTCACAAAAGCCAGCAGCTATTACATGATTGATGCAAAGGGGAAGGTGGTGGGGCCATGAATGCAGCCTGCCCGTCTTGCAAACACTGGGCAGAGACTGGGAACCCTGGAGGGCTGCATTTGGTCTCCAGACCCATAGTTCTGTGCATCTGCTATAAATAATTATCTTCATATGAGATGATGTGATCCCAAGAAACCATCACAAATATTATCAGAGGCATACTTACGCATTCTCGAATTGCAATTTAACAGTCTTGTAGAGTTACAGTAAAACAAAGAACACAGTGGAACCTCACAGATTGAAACATTTATGACAGTATAGGCCAACCTTCTCCAGCATGGAGCACTTGATATGTCCTGGACTTCGGCTCCATCAGCTCCACACTGCACGGTTAGTAGCCAGGCACCCTGGCAGCTGTAGTCCAAATAAATGAATGGCCCAAGGTTGGAGCAGACCTGCTTTGATGCACATTATTTGTGATGTAGAAATAGGGACACCACTCTTGGGAGGATCTGACGCACAATTCCTGTCCAATCTTCTTTTCCAAGATGGAGATCAGTGCACTTCAAATCCCTGTCAGAACGGAGGCACGTGCAAAGACGACATCAGCAACTACGTCTGTTGGTGCCCTGCTGGGTACGAAGGCAGGAACTGTGAATTAGGTTTGTCAACGGGGAGTGCGTGTCCAGTTGCAAACCCGCCATAGGCACTGAGTAGCCAACCATCTTCTGAGCTGAGGAGGATGCTTCTGCTGGATGCCAATCACAGAAGCAATGGGTTGGGTTCAGACAACACGCTAACCCATCTTGCTGGACCCTCTGCACTCAGCACTTTAGTCGGGATCCTGGCTTCCTGGTGCAGTGGAAGCTTGCCCGCAGTGGCACCAGGCTGCTGACAGAGAGAATGCTACTCCAGCTGGTGCCCCATTGGCTTCCGCTGCCCCACACCTTCTCCCATCTGGAAGATCACAAGGCAAGCAAAGCAATAAGCATGCCAGCCGCCTTCCTCGAGGACATGAACGTAAGGGAGTTCCTGCTGGTACCTCCCATCACTACTTGGAGATCACAGAACTGGTGCTTCTCCCTGCTGGCCTTCAGGGTCTTAGGAAGGTCAGGGAGGAACATACAGACCTGCCCAAGTCCTCTTAACACCCATGTGAACTGGCCCCCAAACCCGACCAGCTCCAAGGTCCCTTCAGTCACCGCATCTTGTCTCCCCACTCACGCCCTGCCCTGCCCTGCAAGCCTCTCCTGTTCTCATATTTCAGGCTTCCCCACCAGTAACTAAATGTGATTCTGCTTCCCATCAGATGCTACCTGCTCAACTAGGAATGGTGGCTGCAAACAGATATGTAAGAATGGCCCGACGGGGACAGCTGTCTGCTCTTGTGCTCCGGGATACAGACTGATGGATGACAATAGGAGATGTGAACCAACAGGTGTGGCAAAGCTCTTGAAGCTGGAAGTGGCATGGAAATTGTGAGCGATGTCCTGTGTCTGGCTGACCTGCGTCTCTGTGCTAGGCAGGGCTATTCGGATCCTGGCACTCCCAGTCGCTGGGCCTCCTGACTCGCAAGGGTTCCCCATGGTGCCATTGTTCTAAGTCACAGGAATCCAAAAACTGAAGACCGGCTGTCGGGAGCTGGGCTTCCCCTTATTCATTTCAAACAACAGACTGCCTCTTTACAGAGCAGCTCTTTCTTTTCAGTTCACAGCTAACAAACTAGAGCCACAAGAAGATGAGCTTCTGTGCATGAACAAAGCCATTTGCTGAACCCCAGCTAGAAACTGCTCCTTCCTTGCCTCTGGAGAGGGGCGAGTCTCCTAGATCTATGCAGACCTGCTAACCTGGTAGCCCTGTTAACCTGATGCCACATTATGGGGTCTGGAACCCGATGGGGCTGATCGCCCTCCTCTCCCTTGTCCCCTCCCAAACCCTTTTTGCTCCCACTGGGGATGGTAGCCTTGAGATAACCTCCCCCTCTTCAGCCATCTCGATTCCCACACTCCCCATTTCCCAGCTGTCGCAGTCCTCATACGTATGAAGAGTCAGAACAATCCTGGCCTTAGAAAGCACACCTCTTCCATTCCCAAAACCTGCTTCCCAGCAGGGAGGTCGCTCCTCCCAAAAGAACCGGATGCCATTCATCCCCTTAACCTTCCATCAGTGCACTGACATTGGACCCAAGCAGGTTCTCCCTTTTCATTCATGTACCCTGAGCAGCGGTGGCCAGGGGGAATCAGGCAAGCCATGTGCAACTAAATGTTTCAAGAACAGGAGGGAGATATCTGAGTAGGGTACCCAGAAGTACAAATTTGCCTCTTCGGTTATAGATGAGCAGGCATCCCAACAGAAATCACTTTTAGGCAAGACAGCAGAACCACAGAAAAAGGGAAGCAGTTAGTAATCCTAATTTACAGGTGAGGAAGATGAAGAGATAGAAGCTGAGAGATAGAAGGCAGGTTGAGACGCTGAAAAGATCTGAGGCTGAGGCCCATAGGACAAAGCAAACGAGAAAAGTCTCTCATGTTATGTGTTTCAAAGGTCCTCCTGAAGACACTCCTGCTTGTAAAATAAGATGGAGGGCAAGGGAGAGGAGGGCATCTGATTTCAGGGAAAAAAACCGCAAGGTGGGACAGCTGGAGGTAAAGCCCATGTGGGCCAAAAGTCAGCTAATCCAGGAGATGGGGTGCAACAAGAACCCTCAGGGCCCTTGGAGCTTTCTGTCAGCAAAGGCCCAAGGACAGCAGGTTGGTGGGGCAGGTGGCCTCCCATAGATTCAGGGCACTGAATGAAAATCTGGTGATGAGTGATGGAATCTCCCAGGCAACCCATTAAGGCCACCTCCGATGAGCATTTAGTTTACCCCGGGTAACTTTCAGAGGCCAAGAGCTACATTGTTCCCAGCAGCCCCCACATCCCTGCTTTGCTGAAATCTGATGCACTTTAAGACACCCTCCTTTTTCTGCTGCTGTGGTTTGTCACTAGATTTGGCAGCAAACGGTACCATTTGAAGCTCTTTTGACGTTTGCGTGGCACTGCCGTGGCCGCTGCACTGCTGAATTTGGATGGTGCCGTGGAAGCCATGGGCAGTGGCGGCTGCAAAAAAGGGCTGGAGGGAGGCACTGCTGTCTTGGGCCACGTGTCTCCTACCTCTGACCTAGCAGGGTGGTGTTCCTTGCCCAAACTGAAGTGCTGGATGCCAGCCCATCTATGGCCCGACCACGATCTACTCTCCACATTCACCCGGCTTTTAAAGCTGGAGACCACCCTGCCAGCCATGCAAGAGTGTCCTTGTTTCTGCTGTATCCTCCCATGACAGTCCCCTTTCCGTGTGGAAGGATCACATCTCCAGAGGCGCTGAACGATAAAAGCACCCGTGCAACAAACACTATCGATGACTGGATCATCCATCCCAACGCTACCGATGAGGATGAAGAGTCGGTCAATTCGATCCAGATCGTTTCTAGGAAAAGCAACCGTACTCGAGTGGTTGGTGGCCAGGACAGCAAGAAGGGAGAAGTTCCTTGGCAGGTAGGACAAGTGGCCCAGTGGTGTGGTGGTCCTCGGGGGCACAACCTTGCAGTTGTTGAGGCCCACAATGCCTCCCGCTCTTTTGTATCAGCCAAGTACAGCATTTGCTTTGGAAGGTGAAGCCTTCCCGAAGCTGGGTTAGGTCACTGTCCACCCTGGTCTGACTCACCCCCCGTCTGGTGCCCTGTCTGTGCTCCCAGGTTTATCTGCGCAATTCTGAAGGAAAAGGCTTCTGTGGAGGGTCCATCATCAATGAAAAGTGGATTGTCACCGCTGCACACTGCCTTATGCAGAACGTGATTGATATTGTAGCAGGTAAGCAGCACGGCAGGTGGGTGGCACCTGGCTGATTAGTTTGAGGCGGTAGCACCCATCTGATACTTCTGAAATGTAGCCCTGCACATTTTGCAAATGATAGCTCTTTGCCGTGGCCTCTGTGTGTCACATGTGTGGGTGCTGCGCCTGCGCACTGCCTGTTTTCAGGAAGATTCTCTCGGCTATAATGGTTTTTGGTGGGAACGCTGTTCCTCCCCTTGTAGAAATGGGAGGTCCCTGCCCTCTCGCCAGTCAGCTGAAGACCATCATTCGCCTCCAAAGGGGCCGGCAAGCAAACGTAAGTTTAAGGAAATTCACTTCATGATACATGAACCCAGTCAACGACACGAATGTGGGACCAGTGGGTGGGTTGTGTGAATGCACAGATGGCCACTCGAAGAATGACAGTTACAGGTAAGCAACCTGCCTTTCTTCGTCGTGGCCTCTGTGCATCACACATATGGGTGATTAGCAAGCTTGCCCACCTGGATGGGGTTGCTATTGAAGAACAGGTAGAGAGGACGGCATGGCCAAAGGAGCAGTCCGTCACTGCACAGGTGCAGCACCCATAAGTGTGAATGCGTAGGTGACCACTCGAAGAATGACAGTTACAGGTAAACAGCCTGTCTTTGCTGAAGTTGTGCAAGGAGGGTCACAGCCCTATGTTTGTTATGGAAAAGAGACCTGTGGGAGTCAGGGGGCTGAAGGGTCCCAGTGCCTCAGCAAACACTTCAGCCCTGATCCCACCTCTGGGTTCAGAAGCCCAGACCAGCCAGGTAGGTCTCCGCAGAGTCAGGAAGGGCACACCCAGAACGCCACAATGCTGATGAGGGTGTTCTTAGAAGATGCCTTGGCTCTTTTCACCAGGTGAACATAATGTGAATTCTCCAGACCACACAGAGCAAGTTCGGCAGGTTTCAAGAGCCATCCCTCACCCCACCTATAACACGACAAACATGTACCACAATGACATTGCCCTCCTCGAGCTGGCGTCGCCGCTGGAACTGAACCATTACGTCACCCCGATATGCCTCGCCGACCGAGAGTTCACCAACAACCTGCTCCGGTTCGGCCTGGGCACGGTGAGCGGCTGGGGCCGGCTGACCCACCAAGGGAGGATGGCGAGCGTCCTGCAAGTTCTGCGGGTTCAGTTCATCGACCGGCTGACCTGCCTGAGAAATACCCGGTACAGCATCACGCCCTTCATGTTCTGTGCGGGTGTCCCGGCCGAAGCAAAGGACACCTGCCAGGGGGACAGTGGAGGACCGTATGCAACAGACCTCGAGGGCACTTGGTTCCTCACAGGAATAACCAGCTGGGGTGAGCAGTGTGCTCAGAAGGACAAGTATGGTGTCTACACCCGAGTTGCCAAGTACATGAAGTGGATAAGAGACACGACGAGGCTTAGATGAATTCAGAGCCAGTCCAAGCAAATTCTGCTCCTTTTCTGAGTAGACGGATAAGCATTCAACCCCATTTTCAACTCTGACATGGTTTCACACAGGTTTCTTTTAGAAAATGGTTTACATGGGAATTGCTACCTGGGAGAGTCAGGAAAATGAGTCATGAGCTCAGTGAGTGGGATTGCTTGGCTCGAATTGTGGAAACCAACATGCAAGGACCGTAAGGTTGAGTCTTCAACAGGTCCTATCTGCTTAAGTACCGTGTTGTGTTGTGCTTTGAAGCACCTACAAACACGTCTGTTGTGAAGGGAAATGCCAGGGTCATAATGCCGCTTAGGAAATTAGCATAGCAAATGCATTGAAAGGCAAAATTGGCACTCGGTGCACCCCTGTATGAAGGAGACAGTGAAACATAAATAAAAAGACAACATGAAAAAGAAAACACCTGTATTGCACTGAATTTGAGCAGCACAGAACCCTCCATATGACATGAAGTGCTTTCATATATATTTTTCTTTATTTATCAATGTTGATAATTCCTCTTAAATATAGATTTAACACATTTTTACAAGAACATTTACAATATATTTTAAATCTCTAGGCAGGGGAAGGGATTCCCTCCTCCAGTAAAGCTTGGACTATCATATATGTTAACTGGTGACCCTGTTTACTTTTAAGATGTCATCACCAATTTGTGCAAAGTTTTAGAAGTCCAACAGTGCAATTCTGTACATTTCTATGCAGAAGTGAGCCCAACAGCCTACTTTCAGGTACGTGGGTATCTGATTGCAGCCAAAGACAGCACGTTCAGATTAACAGAACTAGCTCTATTCAGGGAAATGTGTAAGGTACAGAACAAAGAAGTCAAGATCGAAAGTCCAAGATGTGTTACTTGCCTTGTGATTGCTAAGAAAAGTATTTCGATATGACCTTTTTTTAAAAAAATTGACCTATGGAGAGCAGGACTGGATCTACGGTCATTAACCTGATTGGGTTCTAATTTTGGAATTTGTGTGTTAAGAAATATCTCTTCAAATATCTTAATAAATCTATTAAGAATCCATGCAGACTGTAATAAGATTCCCCATCCTGATGCCCAATCAGTGCTTTGGACTACAATTCCCATCACTCTGACCCCTGGCTGTGTAGCTGGGATTTATGGGAGTTGTAGACCAAGTCAGCCAGAGGACGCTAGGGAATGGCTGGTCTCTGGCCTAATTTCTTCTCAAGTAACGTATGAAGGCAAGCAACAGTTTGAATGAAAATTCAGCCACTGTCTGCTCTCACTCAAAGGCTTTTAGTACAGCTTGGCATCAAGGTCACAAACCAAACCAAACTTTTTTTTTTTAAGATCCATGCCCCACAAGTGGCGTCTAAGGAGAAGAAAAGGAAAGAAAGAAACTTACTGGTTTGCTTTTGCATGCATGGTTCCCTGCCTTAGGCTGATGTGAGTGGCCCAACCATAGCACCTGCTCTTTCTTTTCAGATGCCACAAGAAATTAAATTCGTACATACCAGAAAGGCAGGGAGAAGGAGGCAAAGAGCATAACAGAACATAAATATAGAACATAAAATAGAACATAAATTATGTAAACCTCATTTTTAAACAGAGAGAAAATACGCAACTCCTATTCTAACATGAAGCCTTTCTCAAACCAGATACTGCAGAGTACAGACTTCCCACAAACAAAAACATCATTAGTGCAAATGTGGACATTGAACTCCATTATGGCACATGCGTTCCCCAAAAATTACAATGTAAACTTGAACGCTTCACTAGAGAGCCTGGGTATAAAGAAAACCCAGAGAGGGCTGTGACTATCCTGAGTTGACCATCCAGAAGATCTTGAACCACAGCTGACATCATGAGCTCTGGATTGGGGCCTTAGTGCAAAAGGAAACCCTGCTTTTCCTCAACATTATTGCCTTGCCATGCATCACCTAGCCCAAAAGATGGTCTTATGCTGATGTGGCCGGAATAGATTCACACCCATTCCAGAAATAGAAAAATCAACTGAATCAGAAAATGTCACATATAATGGCAATTGCTTGGTGCAAGCCTAAGCAATCACAGGGAGTTTTGTTTGCTGCTGTTTATTTTTGGGTTGCTGGCAAGGGACAAAAGTCACCTTAACAAAAACCAAGGAAGCTACCAAATTAAGTGTCATGGAGAGGAGAGGGAAAGTTCAACCCCATGTCAGAACAAAATGGCACCGTATTTTCCACTGGTAGGAGAAACCATGAAAAACACGAAGGAATGGCTTCCATTGATGGTCACGGCAAATGTTGATGAAGCTGTGATGTGTAGCAAATGCTGATGGATCATGATAGTACGAGGAATCTCCAGCAACTGAATAATCTCTCTCTTTCGAACAACCATGTCAAGTCTCCAATGGAGCATTCAAAGATGGCATGAGATTAGTTCTCCCTGAAAACTCAGGGGGAGCTTAACTTTCTCGTCTTATACAGGGCAGCGTCTATAAAGCAATGAAGAGTCATGTTAGTGTTAGAAGCAGGGTATTCCAAGAATGCATGGCTCATTACCAGGTAGTGTTCTGACGCCATCTCAGTGAAGGCCCCAGTCCGCAAAAAGCCAGTAATGCTAGTCATGGTGGCCAGAGTGTGGTTGCAGCTAAAGGACGATTCCAAAGGATTATTGATAACTCATCTCACTATTCATGAGTCTCTGTAGGACACTCATGGAAACAAAAAAGCAAAACCAGAACAGAGAACCAGCCACTTTGCATTGCACAAGCGTGTCATCAATTATGGCTCCTGTGCAAAGGCTTGCAACTTAAAAATTTAAAGTGCATAAAAAGTGCAATGCAATGCATTTCAAGGCTTTGGCTTTTGGCAACAAAAGTTTCTCGCAGGGAGCTGCAAAATCTTATCAAGTATACTTATGAAAAGTTGGAAGACTGCAAGGTTTACCCACTCAAACAAAATGCAGTTTATAATGACTATTGTTTAGTCAAAACCCAAATGAACCTAGCCAGTTGGGGTTTTGTGCCTGCAAGAAAAAGTATTAGTTCTCTTAAGAAAGACTGAGGGAACTACCAAATTAATTGTTGTGGTGAAGAGGGGGAAGTTCAACCTCATGTCTGAACAAAATGGCACTCTACTGAAGATCTACCCACCCAAATTAAAATGCGGGTTAGGACACTAGTCCACTTTATTAACAGTACGTGGATGTTTCACACAAAACTTTTTTTTTTTTTTTTTTTGGGCAATTCTAGGGAAGACTTAGGAAAGCACCAAGCACAAGATCTTTGGTATAAAAGGAAAGTGGGATTCACTTGGAACCTTTCTGTCCAAGTTTAAACAACGCTCTGGAACCAGTTGATTGCAACTGCAGTGATTCCCCCAGGTGCACCATCTAAAGTGTGCATGCACAATTCATATGATTTGCACAAACTGAAAAGCACAGGGCAGCAGAAACTAGTGTCTTGTTAACATAGACTTCTTGCTTGAATGCCTTTTTTAAGGGCTAAAACATGAGGGATGTTTGGATGGCTTGATAACTTTTCACAGTATTTTTCTATCTGTTTCTATCTATTTTTCTTTTCACAGCATTTTTCAACTGACAAGCAGCACTATTGTCAGTTGGACTGACAGAAGCATTTCTGAATACTGGATCCCTTCAATTGAGATGCTATTACTCTCTGGGTTGCTCCCCAGTACAATGTGAAGCCCCTTTCCAAGAAGTCCAATACTCAATACAGACCAACCAATATAGGGTTGTCCTTAGAGGAAGCTGGAGGTCTTGAATGAAAGAGTCTTCCGTGCCACACTGTGAGGAGCTTTGGACATAACGATGGCTTAGCGTTATAGCAGTGAGCTGCAGTGAACTTTGGGCATGTGTGTCCACTCTTTTCCCTCCACCACAGACATTCTGATGTGTCTCATGCTTTGTCATGCTCTCCAAGCCTGGACAAACTGGGATGTATCTTAACTATGGTTAGTTGAGGCAAGCCAACTACAATCCATCGTTTATGAAGCTGCCTTGTTGCAATTAACCACAGTTTAGGATTTAGGCTGTGGTTTGTCTAAAAATGGAAGCTTCCAAACACCTTTTTGAGATCATGATGGAGGCTGAAATGCACTGAGGCTCCTTCTCACAAAGTTAACCCATTCTTTAATGCTACATTCAATTACAGTTATTAACTCTGATATTTATATTTGTCTTCTCTCCCAGTGAAAAGTATGAAAATTTGGCAAATTAAGGCCTGTTTAAAAAGAGGCAGCATGCCTTGTGATATCAAAAAGAACATCATCCTTAAGCCCGGAAGCAAGTGCACGGGGGAATAAACTGAGGAACAAGTGGAAGTTCCTCACATCCACTTAGAAAGTTTCTAAGACTTAGAAAGTTTCTGAGCAAGTGGTCAGGGATTCTGCTTATGTAACTCCACTGAATGGGAATCCTGGTCAGTGATCCATGTTCCTGGTCCATGAACCTTAAGCCTGTATTAAGCCTTAATCCAATCGTCCTTGATCACTTGCTGTTCCCATAATAAAATGTCTTCTTCTGCCCAGAAGGAAGGCAAGTCATCAGGGACTATGGGAATGTCCATGGCTATTACTGCAGCATGGATGAATATACAGACAGCCTTTTTATGCAAAGTGAGGTCACTAGCACAGAATATGAGCACAGCTCCTGAGCATGTGCTTTGCAAAAGCAGGCATGCTTCTCTCCCTCATAGCCAGCAGAGAGAGCACGGAACGTGTTGGTGCAGGTTCTGTCAAAGGTCATTAAACTACTAGAAGGCTTGTGGCAATTTGAGGGATGTGTGAATTGGTAAACTCCAGCATATTGGATTTCTCAAAATTCCATCTCAAATTTCCATTCCAAAGCTTGTTCCAACTTGAGTCTATATCTGATTGTAAGCTATAGGTTTGTTTCCTTTCCAAATGAACATCTGTGCATTTTTTCATGCGTATTTTCCCAAATGACACATCAATTGTGCACATCTTTGAAATGTATGCATTCTCCTCCCATTGATTCAGGAATATTTGTATGCATTTTGCAAAAAGTACATAAACTTTTCATTTGCATTTTTCAAAAGAATACATGCCATCTAACACATTCTTTTTGTTCTGGAAATCACATTGCAAGATCAGAAATGATTGGACTTGGGCCACAGACTGCATCTTGGATCAGATTCAGTCCAGAAGGTGCAAATAGGGAAAATCCTGATCAAAAATGAACTGAAATTAATGTCTCATACATCCCCACAATTTTGTCAGTGCAAAAAATTTATACATTTATACTTAAGGCATTATGACTTCTGCATTCAACACCTTTTCAAGCCTTGACCAGTTCATTCTTTGCAAAAATGAAAGCGTATTCAGCAAATTAAAAGGGGGAAAAGAGATTGCATAAAAGTATTGCTAATGTTTTTGCAGCCATTTAGATTATTAGTTCTCCCCTCCCCCTCCCCCCATGCACACCTGCTGTCTTCGCTTATTTCAAAACCTATGGCAAAAGCTTGGATTTAAGCAAGCAAGCAAAGAAGCAAGCAAGCGCCTCCAGATTCCCACATACTCCATCTCCAGAGCAGCTCAGGGAAGGCTTGCTTGTCATCACAGGATACCTGCAACTCGAGCATTCCGAAACCTACAGTCCCCAAGGATTAATTGCAAGCTGTTGCCAGCCACCCAGCCTTCTCTTCTTCGGTTGAGATTTTTGACCAGCCTTCAAAATAACAAAAAGAAAAGAAAAGTGAAACGAGCCATATCAAGGCTGCTCACTATCAGTTCCAGGTCTTTGGTGGCTCTTGGGAAAGACACCCTTCATGTGCCACCTCCCTCAGGGAGGTTACCTTCTCACCACTTTTCTCATGAGTGTTTCTTGCTCCTCCGCCTCCTCCTCCTCATGACTTCCACTTGCTTGCTCAACAGGCTGAAAGCCCCGGAGCAAGCCAGCGGTGGCATCTCCTGCTCCTCTTTCGCATTGCCTAGGCTGGAGCAGAAGGTTTGTCCATGCCATGGAGGGGCCATGATGAAGAGGAGGAGAATGTCCAGGGGCACCTGGTCCAAGGGCCCCTCCTGGGATATGAGCACTCGCAGAGGCTCAGCCAGGCCTACCTTTGGTGCTGGTCTTGCCATCTGCCTGCCTATTGGAAATCTACCAGCAGATGGCCAGAGCCATGGCCTGTGGCTTTTGCTGCTACCCCTCTGTTCCTTGCAGGAGAGGAGAGATGAGAGTCTGGAGGACCTACCACTGTCCCTCTCCATCTTCATGCAGCAGCTGAATGACATCCCCATTCTTCACCAGCAAGTCATCCGAATCCCTCTTCTTGCAGTCCGCTAAGACCTTATATCTCCTGGGCGACTGCAACATTAAAATGACATCAAGGTTTATGCTCAAGATTTGCAAAGGGATCTGCTCTTTTCCCAGGATGCCAGCACCTCCCCCACCAAAACAAAGAAAGACACATGATCCCCCCAACTTTTCAAATCCCAGGTAGAACAGCACAGCAAGGGGGAAACCAACCTGGCCCCATGCATTGTCCAGAACAGAAACAGCTGCAGGGAGCTTGCCTCGCCCTTCCCTGCCAGAAAGAACACCCATAAGAGCTTTGCAATGAAGAAACGTGCCTCCTGAATTTGCTTCTCCCCTCTTCCCTCCCGATCCCTTCTTTGTGTGTTGCATATTTTGGGCTGCAAGCCTGAGGATGGGAATATCATCATGTTAAGAATCCCTTTTCATCAGAAAAGTGCTGTAACAACTCAAATGTTTCTACCTCTTACGGCTATTGATGCCAGTGGTGTGACCACTACTACTTACTACTAGCAGTAGCACAGTAGTAATACTGCTGTTGTCACTGCTATTAACAACAGCAACAACTCTCAGAAGGGAAAAGGCCAAGTTCTCTTACCAGTGGCCAAGATGAGATGCCACTGGTCGGGAATGGCTTGAGGTCTGAGAACTGTTAGGCACCAAGTCTTCCCATTTTAATTTCAAAAATAGTGGGCTGGACTAAGAACCAGAAATTACTCAATGGCAAGAAGAAGGCTCATTGGCAAGGAACACAAAGAGACACCAAGATGACAGAATGAAGCAATCCTGTGCCAATGAACAAAGTGTCAAAAGTACCTGAGATTGCAAAACACAATGGAGACACACACATGGAATGGTTTAAGGAAGTAAGAAGAGCTCCACTAGCCCATGTGAAGGATCCCACCTACTACAGCATGGTATCATCCACAGAGGCCAAGCAGACGCCTCCAGGAAGCTCACAAACAGGACACGGAAGTCTCCTCCACTGCTGAGCCCAAGAATTGGGAGACAGTGGCATATTCCTTCTGAACATGGGAGATCTCACTTCCATCCTGACTTCATGGTCACAAGGAGACCTCCCCTTCTCCTCCTCCTTTATGAATTTGTTAGAGCTCCTTTTTAAGCTTCAAGGGATGGCAACACCTTGCAAGCTCCATGGCCAGCAAGTCTTAGAAGGAAGCCCTCAAGTCCACATCAAGCCCCTCAAGTCCTAGACATCCAGTCACAGGGGTGGGCGATCCAGTCACAGCAAACCTGAAGTGCACATTGCATCTCCTTGTGAGCTATCAATCGTGCGACTCACCAGCTGACTCCCTTCTTCTTCTTCTTCAGTGTCAGAGCATGTTGAGAAGCAGTTGTGGCTGGACCACTCACCAAGCCCTTCACAGATTTCCAAGGAATGGGACATTCCTGGCCAAGCTGCATGGGAAAGGGAGCGATGCATGTCAAAACTTCCAGCATTCCAAAAGCAGGGAGCAGGTTCCTTGCTGTGAGCTGTATGAAGTGGTGTGGTGCTGGGAAACGGGATTTCGTGTGCCTTCATTGTGTCTTGAAGAAGTATGGAAGATCCATGACCTGACTTTGGCTCCAGGTAAAGGCCGAAAACAAGCACACCTTTCATCTCTCCGCAAGCCAGCACTTACTCTGAGGCTCTGACATCACCGGCTATTCAGACATAGCTTGTGGCATTGCATTTTGAAGGGGGCTATGAGGATAGAGCCATAGGCTGAGGTGATGCCGTCGACTTGTGGCTGCTACCTAACATGTCCCCCATGACTGGGCTGCTGGATACAGGACAGCAATGGCAGAAATATGGTCCCTCTTGGTTATCCCAGGATGCATATGAGGAGTGAAGGGGTGAGCAAGACTTATCTGGGGAGAAGGGCATTGGGGGCTGAGTCCCGCAGGACAGAAATCTGCATAAAAGCTGCATTTATGACTAGGAGGTTTTTCGGGGGGGGGGGTTACATTAAATTAATTGTTGCGATGATCCATCCAGTCACCTGGACATATTGGTATCCTTTGAATGAAAGCCCCCAGAAGGTCCTTTCCATGGCAGCCCTGCTTATTTGTCCTTCCTTTTCTTCCTCTGCCTTTGACTTTTCGTAGCCTGACTGTCTTCTTCAGTTAATACTTCATCCAAACTACTAAAGAAACCACTTAATTTCCATCATGATCCAGACTATCCCAGATCAATGGAAAAGGGTTTTTTCTACACTCAATTGCCATGCAGGGAAACCACCTTTTTAAAGTGGGGGGTGCAGCTTGTAGGGAGGGGAGAGTTTCTCTACCCAGCTGCAGCCCCCCTTGAATATTACCCTATGCAAGGTAAACAAAAGGGGAAAAACCCCTCCCTTCTACAGCACAGATCCACGTCCCTGGGAAATAGATCTGAGGCCACACCTAGCAAAAGGCCTGCCCTGGGAATGCACAGAAAGCAGCACATGCAGGCAAAAGGGAAATCATGGTGTTGAGTTGCACATACGCCTGCTCACTGTGCTCTGTGGGGAAGAAGCGATGCTGTCCAAGGCTACTGGGCTGGTATGTTCAGAATCATTTTCCTCTGAACTCACAGAAGCCCTCGGATTTTTCCTGAAAAAACACAAAATCCCTGTCAGAGGAAGTGAAACCTGGCAAGTGATGAGCAGGTGACACCTGCAACACCCATGGTGACGGCATCCCCCTTGCTCGGGCACAAGGCCACCTCCTGGAGTTGTGGGCACATTCAACAATTTGAGTGCCTATCCTGGAAGCCATCACAAAGTGGCTGCTGTTGGAGGTGTAGGAAAAACAAGCAATCTGCCCCAAAGGCTGAGTAAAATGGCAGGGCTGAGACCCAAGCCTCCATCTAACACACAGACCATGGTCTTCGGCACCAACGGAAGCCGATTTGCAGCAACTCTAGCTGCTCGTAAGGAAATGAATTGCATTCTTCTAAAAAGTGGGAAGGGTGGGGCCCCTGCTGAGCACCCAAAGAGGTGCCTGGGCGTACATTGGTGCTTGTGGGTCCCGTGCTGCTCAAGTCCAGTAGCGAAGTCGACCCATTTTCAGGGGATCAGCCAAGAAGGAATTGCTTTGTGTTGGATCAACCTACCCATTGCTCAGAGGAGGGGAAAGCTGGATCTGGTCAGCACACGAAGGCGGAGGCTGCTTCTCCACTGTGGACACAACATAACATTGTGTTAGCTTTGAATCTTCCACCCACCCAGTGCTCATGAAACTAGGAGGTGGGGGCTTTTAGACATGTAACCCTATGAAATCTGGAAAGGATTACATGTTAAACTAAAAGGAACTTTGGTCTGACCCAGCAAAGAAACAGGATCACAGCTGTATCACAGACAGACAGACAGACCTTCATTGAATTGAGGAAATGCTCATGGAAACATAGAAACAGAGTGAGTCAGAAGGGGCCTCCTGGATCCTACACTGAGTCAGACCAATTGTCCATCAAATGCTGAACTGACTGAGTGGCAACAACTCTCCAGGGTTTCAGAGAGAGGATTTTTCCCAGCCCAACTAGCAGAAGCTCATATGAAACTCAGGACCTTCTGCCTACCAGGTGCCACTGGGTTGCAGCCCTTCCTGTGCCAGGTGCACCCCGCTGATTATTGGTATATCTATCATTTGGGTTTTGCCAACATGCTTTTGTTGTTACTTTGTGTGGGAGGCTAATGGTTTCTTCTCTCCCCCTCCCCTCCATTTCTTAAATTTGTTTTCAAAATGCTGCAATAGTGACATGGCACTTTTCAACATTTCGTCTCTGCACCTATGTGGCAAATGAAAATGAAATCAAGCAAAAAACCTGGGATATCAGGAAATTAAACTTCTTTCAAAACATTTTCAGTTGCGTTTTCCCCTGGGGGAAAAAGCATCCTAAACTCTCCTCTGGCATCCAGCCAGACCTTGCCCTTGATGGCTGGGTTTTAGTTTCACTTCATGATGTGCTACATCCCCTGTTCCAGCTCAGATTGCCCATATCTGATTTAGCAGTTTGGAGAAAGAGAAAGCAAATAATCAGTTGCAATGCACTTCAATCAGGTTTGTCAACTACTTTTTGCACAGTTTACTGGACTCTCGGGATGGTTTCTGGAGCAGAACATCGCTGGGCAAAATCTAGTTGGATTTCCGAAGAGCCTTTCAAATCCCCCCACTCCAGGGAAATGCTAGATTACTGCACTGCCCTATAGATGGGGCTGCCCTTGAAGGTACTTCAGACACCTGTTCTGGTCTGCCTGCACTGGCTGCCTCTATGCTTCCAAGACCAATTGAAGGTGCTCGTTTGAACCCATAAAGCTGTACCTGACAGGATGCCTCTCCCAACAACCAACTACCCAGATATTAAGCTCAACACCTGGGGCCTTCCTCTGAATGCCACTTCCAAGGAAACTTGGTTGGAAAGAGCAAGGAGGTGGGCCTTCTCTGTGGTAGACCCAAATTATGGAATGATTTCCCCACTGACGCCTACCTAGCACCAACTTCGCTATCTTTTCAGTGCCAGGGTAAGATCACCCTATTCCCTGAGGTGATCCCAATTCCAAATAGCCCATGTGGTAATGGAGTGTGGACAGCCATTTTCAGTTCTCTTTTCATTTTGTTTCATTTTGTTTCAGCTCGTCTCAATACATTTTGTTACGTTTTGTTTCTTTTTTTCTTAAGCAGGCTTAGCAGTATGAACTACTTTAGTTGTTTAATTGTCAAATGCTGCTTTAAATTGTTAATATACCCTTATGATGTTTTTACTATTTTTTTAATACCTGAATTTTCTCATGTTTATGACCTACTTTTCACCACCAGAGTGCTTCAGATATTGGCTGGTACAGAAATTAAATACATACATATTACTACCACTCTATATGACTCTGATGTGCCCACAACTGGAGTATTGTGCTCACTTTTGGGCCCCTCATTACAGAAAGGATATAGCCAGGTTAGAGTCAGTGCAGCATAAGGCCACAAGGTTGGTGGCCGGTTTGCAGGGGATGGGGTATGAGGCGAGACTGAGGGAACTGGGTCTCCTCAGCCTGGAGGAGAATCAGAGGGGATATGTTGGTGACATACAGGTATGTGAGGGGATGTCACACGGAGATGGGTAGAGACCTGTTCTCCCCTGCAGAGGAAGGCAGGACGCGCTCCAACGGAGCCAGCTCAGGGAACCAAGGCTCCATTTGGATGCCAAGAAGCACTTCCTGCAGTTACGAAGGACCCCGAGGGTATAGAATGGGCTTCCACGGGAGGTCGTTGAAGCCCCATCAGTGAGGGTGTTCATAGATAGGCTGGACATGCAAATGATGGGCATGTCGTGAGCAGACATGCCCACCAGAGTTGGCTGGAGTCAGGGGTCAGACTAGATGGCCCGGGAGACCCCTTCTGACTTGCTCTGTTTCTATGTTTCTGTATTACTGCAGATGTTTTGGGGTGGGGGGAACAGATTGTTTCTCTACTGCCAGTTTTTGTTTTCATGTGCAACATGGTGCAGTAGTGCAAAGCTGCAGTTATGAAATCTTGAAAAAATACAATTCTGCCAGTGCAAAAATTTGAAAATTAGTGGGAAAAAACAGAGTTGGGGGTGAGAGAAGAAGCATTTAGCCTTCAGATGCATGCACTCACACGTGCAGGTTTGTTTGGGTTTTTTTGGCAAAATGCAAATGACTGAGACACAGAACACATTGGTATTCTGCAGGCTGTGGAATTCAATGGGCCTGGACCAGCCCTCCCCCTGCAAAGCCATCTCTGCTCCTAAACCAAGAGGAGAGCAGAAGTGATTGTGGGAAGGATCAGATTGCTGCAAGAGGAGAGATCCTTAGCTCAAATGAGCATTCTGAAGCTATATGAGAAGAACCAGTGGACTGTCCCATTCTCAGCAGGGAGATCCAGAATGGGCACCTAAAAGCCAAGCCTCGAAGCCACCAACATACCTTTGATAAGCTCTTGCTGCTTGAACAAAATCTTCCTGATCTCATTGAGCCACGCCATCTTCAGATCAACGGTTTGGGCCTGGAGGAGAGAGGACTGACTGAAGTGCTCCTGGATGAAGAACACAGCTCCTCCACTACCAAAGGTTTAAAAGGTCCCATGTGCATACAACTGTGTCTGGAGGACATGGGATACTTTGGAACCCCAGAGGTGAGGTTAGAAAGAGGGCTCCCGCCTCACCAAGAGAGGTCCAACCTCCATGCTCAGGACCTGCACGCCAAGCACACTCGCCCTGCTGCAGAGCTGGTGTAGGAAGGACGGGCGCAGCTGCCTCTCCAAGGCATGATATCAACCTTGGAGAGGAAGAAAAGCGAATCGAGAGTGCAGCTAAATAATTTTGACTGTCCAGCTGGAATTCTGAGCCTCCATCAAATGGAGAGTGTTGCAAGCCACATTCAGCTACACCTGTCCTACACGAGAATGTTAATTGGCAGTTAATCCATTGTATTAGCTAGTGGTTTCCTTGCAGAACTGAAATCTGGGCATGACACAATTTCCTTTTTTGCTATACAGGATAAGCAAATGCCATACATGTGAACAATTTATCTGCCATGCTTGTTATTCCACCTACTTTATTCATGTTTTGAGAGGCATGGACAACCTCTTTGATGGTCTGCCCTTCACCTCTGACTAGGTTGTTGTCCACACAACTTAAAAACCTGGTTATTGCTTTCCTGTCCTGCCTGGCGCCAACACTGCAAAGGCATTTGGCTGGCTGCGCTTAATTAGACAGACGGTCCTTTGGTCTCCAGCAAATTCTTCGGAGAAGAAGCATGGATGTGTCCTGGCACCTTAGTGGGGCATTGCTTGAGACAAAGTGATTTAACTCAATGGATGCATCCTCTGATTTAATGAGACCTCCTCTTATACTCTTGGGCAGCATAAAATTAAGCCAACCTGGACAACATACACCTCCTCCCGGCCACTGTACCAGATCTCAAACTTCCGATGGTCTCCTTTCACATTTTCGGTGATGCCAACTGCATTCATCTGAAAAAGGAAAAACAAGCAAATTAAAATGCAAGATGTGACAATACAGATGGAGACTCTTTTATTGCATGGGTGGGTAACTTTTGGATCTCTACATGGGTTGGATAAAAACTCTCATCAGCTGGCATCACTGCTGAATGGTCAAAGATAACGGAGTTGAAGGCCAGAAGATGCGGGCAGCTGAAAGGTGTCCAGCTCTGTTTTATTGCAAGAGTAAAGCAGATTGTATTACAGATAAAACTCTTACCTGGCACTTTTTTGAGAAAAAAACAACACAGAAACTTACTGGGAACATTTTGCCACTGGCAAAAGGAAGGTCTTGTCAAAAGTATTTGTTTGTTCACTTATTTATTTAAAGCTTTTATAGACTGTCTTGGGATAGTTTACAACAAGCAACAAGTAAAATAGGGGGGAAAATAGCACAGCATCTGGTGATACAACAATATAAACCACATTCAAAATGATTTAAACATCAAAATAACGAGAAAATAAAAAGGGTTTTGCCTGGCGCCAAAGAGAAAAAAGTGTTGGCGCCAGGTGAACCTCTCTGGGGAGTGCATTCCATAATTGGGGTGCCACCACAGAGAAGGCCCTCCTTCAGGGAGTCACCCTCCTGATCTCTTTTAAGGAGGGCTCCCAGAGAAGGACCTCTGTCCCAGATCTCAAGAGGCAGGAGGGCATATGGGGGACAAGGCGCTCCTTCAGCTATCCAGGACCCAAGCCGTTTAGGGCTTATAGGTCATCACCAGCACCTTAAATTGGGCCCGGACTTCAACTGGCAGCCAGTGTAAAACAGTGAAGGACTGGCATTATATGTGAATACCTGCAGGTCCCCATTAATATCCTGGCAACTATTCTGGACCAACTGAAGTATCCAGACTGTCAACTGTTCTGCACCTTTCCCTGTGAGTCAGCCCTTTCTGCTTCTTTCCCACGCCCTGCTGTTTGCATGATCCAGCCAGATGAAGTCCTTGCGCAGCCTTTGCAGCACTCGGGTCTATCTCTGCCTTTTGGATTTCTCTTTCTGCCAGGACAAACCTTACCAGAGTAACAACTGATGCAGCTGGACCACTGCTTGAGGGGCAAGGAGTCTCAGTAGATTCCATAGCCTTTCCAAGGGAGGGCATAAGGATAACCGTTGCTTAATTTGAATGAAAAGAGATGCCAGCTTGCAGACCTACATAGGAAACTGGCCATTCCCCATGATTCTGTATTCTAAGCATGCGAGGAGTGGCTGCAGTTGCCCAACAGAGAGGAAAAGGCACTCCATACATGCTCCATACATTTCATTCATGGGTTGCTCCAACTGGTGCTGTTTCACCCTTGGAAGGATTCAGTCTTCTTTAGACTTGGCCATTTATATACAACTTTGTAATCAATGTTGTCCTCTTTCTCCTTTGCGGGGGCATGCCTGCACATTCCATTTTGCTTTTGGGGCAAACACAGCCGGAGAATGCAAGGGATCTGTTGCCGATATGGTTTGCATTGCGCTCACAATGCATTTTGCATTATCCATCCCATCTGTGGCCACCCTTCCATGATTTGGTTCCCCTCACAGCTGCTGGAGTACACAGTTCCCATCATGCTCATGCTGGCTGGGGATGATAGATGTGGCAATCTGACAGATGGATTGGCTGGGACAGAATGGACGAGCATTACAACTCCCCTCTTACTGGCCAGCTTATCAAAAAGTGAGGCTCTGCCCTGAGGGAACTGGGCATGAGCAGGTCTCCTTCTGCATATGAATGTACTGTCCGTAAGCAGATGCTCTGTGACTTGCAGCTTCAGTGCCAAGGGCAATGCATTCTGGTGGGTTAAGGCATTAAGTAAATGGGGACAGAGGATTTGCCCAGGTGTCCCCATGTTTTCTTTCTCTTGCTTTCCTGGCCTGGTTGTCACCCGCCTCCAGAAACCAGGGAGCTGTTTGCTCGAGACATTTTCCTTTGTGCCATTTCCAGGCACTGCTGGGCAAAGAGGCTTCACCATCTGTTCCAGGGCTCCCTCCCTCAGAAGGCAACATCCCCTTCCAGCGCCCCAGGACATAGTGGGAAAGCAACCTGAAGAGCTCCCAAACCATTCGTCTTTGTTTAGGCCAGGCCCTTTCCACAAAGCAATTGTCGTTTTGATTTAAGTGATCAACCGGAGCCTTTTGGGCTCCTATCAAGTGAGGAGCAGGGCTGCCAAATAAAGAGCCACCAAGCTGGAATGAAGGACAACAGCCCTCCTTTCCCTAATCCAAGAAAGTCCTCTGCCCATCATCTCTTACTATATCCCCCCATGTTGTAAATTTGCAATTGGGAGGACAAGAATTTAACCCAGTCCTCCACAACTGGCAGCCTACAACTGAACTGTCCCCTCACCTCCAGGAGGCAGGGATACTGCATTGACTGGGTGAGTGGCCTCTAACACACCCAGAAGGCACCAGGTTGGGTTTCACCATTTCTTTCCTGGGTACAAATCCCACCCCACCACCCACCAAAGCTGCTAGCGCTGGGAAAACATGTTCCTTACTTTCAAGAAGTGCTTAAAACTATACGAGGAGGTTTTCTCGTGGCTGTCGCTGTGATCCTCTCTCTTCTTGCAAAATACCAGCGCTTTCTCATACAGGAAAAGGTGCCGCTGCATCGGCTTGAACCTGGCCAAGTCTTTCATCTTCGTGGGACCTTTGTGATGCCCTGTCCACACACTGAAGGACCCCTGCATCAGCACTTTCCCGAGTTCTCCAATGTCACCCTGAGAATAATGGCACAAAACAAATATCTGTTTACTCTCTTGGGGTCTTTATAAGCCTCCCCAAAACCAGGGTTTCAGAAAAGCTTGCATGCTTGAAATGATAGCTGAAAAACTACCATGCAGCAGGCATCACTGAAAGACAGCAAACATGGTGATGCCATAACACTAGTGATAAAGGGGAACAGCCTCTGACAGTTTGGGTAGACTGCCATGACACAAAGAGACTCCACTAAGCACAGTTCATCACCATGAATAAAGCAAGGCTGTCATGCTTCAAGTCTAGAGGGCAACACTGGACTACCTGGGGTCCCAAATGAATCTTCTAGGGAGTCTGTACAGGGCCCATGCCTTTCCCCTAGATCTTACCTCCTGTCTGCCAATCACATATCACTTGGTGGTTTTCCAATCTCTGTACAGTTTTTGCCCGGCAAGCTTAAGGCTCACGTTCTGGCAGTACAAGGGCCTGTGCTAAAATATGCTGGGGTTTGCATAATTTGGCTCTGCCCCTTTTGCTGTTGGGTTGCCCACCAGTGGAAGGCCTTTCCCCACTCCCGGAAGTCTTAGGCTATCGAGCCACAAGAAGTTCAACACCCCTGAACTAAATCAAGGATGGAGAATTGCAATCCTGTAGAAGTTGTGGTCTTTCGGTCTAGTGACATCTGGCAAGTCTTAGGTTCCTCACTCCTATTGTCACCATAAGAAACTATACCAAGACTTCAGGCGAACATATCATCCCATTTCCCTTGATGGTATTTACCATGGCCACCTCCCTGAACTGAAATACCTACATCATAGCCAGTTATCGAAATCTGGTGCATGGAATCATTGACTGACTTCAGCAAATCCAGCATGGCAACCAGAGCTTCTTGGAGCTCCTGGACACCTTCGCAGCTTGTGCTGTACTTCAGCAACTCCTGCAAACCAAGACAGCTAGTCAGGATTAATCCGTACTTGCGCCAGTTTGCACACCCATATTCCACTTCGCGCTGCCTGAAATGTGAAGTGACTAGGCCAAGCAAGGCACGCATGTACGCGCATCACTGCAAATGGAGTCCTTCAGCTGCCAGTCCTCGAGCGGGCAGTGAAGAAAATAAGGGACTTGAGATCATCAGAAGAGCTGTGCTGGATCAGACCCGGGGTCCATCCAGTCCAGGCTCTTGTCCACACACCTGCTAACTGGCTGCCTGCAGGAAACCTGGATGTGGGACATTAGTGCAACAGCACCCTCGAGCCCATGCTCCCCAGTAGCACATGCCTCTGATCAGCAATTAAGTCACTCCGGCAGCCTTTTTCTTCAGAAATCCATGTGATCCCCCTTCAGAGCTAGGATATGATGCATATTCTGTTCTTCCACAAGGTGCTCAAGGCAGCAGTGAACTCTCAGCACAATAGGAAAATGTTTGCCCAGATCAAACAGGGAAAGAATAAGGCTGAGGTCCTGCTGTCAGACGGTCGTGACGTTCTCTGCTTCATTTAGCTTTTGAGACAAAAAAATGCATGGCAGACACTTCATTTCTGCCATTCATGGCCAAATGGCATGTTATGCTGAATGTGCTGCTGGAAAAGGAAGAAACCATGGAGAAGGACAGGGGCTTCCAGTCAGGATGGGGAATGGGCTGGTCGTGGAAAAATCCTTTGATACAGGAAGGGAATTGCTGCGGATTCACATGGAAGCTCTAGGGGAGGGGTGCAAGAGGTCCCTCATCAGGACAGTGGGGTGGGAGGAAGTGGTGCACCGTCGTTCCTCCGAGCCCATTCCGTGCCCCTCCACATATAAATGACTGCTGGTCACCACACTCCAGAGAGGACTCTGATGCTTTTCGGCCCCCCAGAGACCCTCCCAGACTCTCCCACCAGCCTTTGCCTCCAATTATGGTCCTCCCAAAGCTTCTCTGATCCCGCAGCTGCATAGGGCTAGGGTTGGGGTCAAGGTCAGGGTTAGCTGCAGAAAGGAGCATGGGCCCCTTAAGGCTGCAGCCAGTGTCCAGCGGGAGGGAGACCTTCTGAGGAACAGGAGCTGCCCAACTCAGTTGCCATTTATCCCTGGCTGAAGCAGCAGCTCCTTTCAGGAGGAGCCAACTCAGGTAGGACGCTGGCTGGGGCGCTGCCTGTTCTGCCTCCGAAGGCCCGAACTGACTTCAGTTCAGTGTAACTGTTGCCTGAAAGTGATTCTGCCAGAAATAGCTTCCTTCCCCTAGAGCCTGCTCACAACCAGCTTCCCTGCTTTTCAGCTAATTAAAATAAAGACCTACGCAAACAGGTTACACACAGTTGTAGGTTGGAAGTAATAAGTAGTCTGGCCCTTATTTTTGTGTGAGGAGGGGGAGACAAAGACCATACACACCACAACAAGCACACATCTTGTGCAGGAAAACAAAATTTCTACTTCCCGAGATTTTCCTGGTTAGTCTTACCCAACCTGCGGCCTTTGGATGTTTTGGACTGGAACTCTCATTGTCACTACGCCAGCCCAGCCAGGAACAATGGTCCAAAACATCTGGAGGGCGTGGCAGTTTTAGGCACTGAATGTTTTCTTATTCAAGGCTTGACTCCCTTTCCATTTCCATGCTAACTTGGCCCACACAGATGTGTATTATGTGGGACAGAGTTTGAATGTGTGAGCCCTTCCTTTGCGTGCATTCTAGTATGATAATGCCCAGCAGGTTGGAAGATCTGTTGAAATATAAATAGGTCATGGACTAATTTATACAACCATCTGATAATGGCATGAATACCTTAAGAAGCAGCTGGTACTTCGTTAGCCGTTGCACAGGTTTGAGCAAATAGGAATCCAAGCCAAGCTTGTGCTCTAGTTTTCTTTGGCATTCCTACAACACAACAAAAAGACAAAATACAGTTCGTGGAAAGATTGCATCCAGCACGTGCAACCCTACAGCAGGCAGAGAGGTGATTTAAAATTCAGTCCATCATAGGACCAAAGTCTCCAAGTTCAGCTTCAGGGAAGAATGGGTAGCAAAAGAGACCAAAAGGGCCGGTTGCTAGCTGCACCGGCTTGCGTGCAGAAGGGCTCCAGCTGCACTCCTGGCACCTTCTGTTAAAAGGATCATAAGAAAAACTCTCCCTGTGCGAGTCTCTGAAAAGCTGCTGGCAAACACAGTAGCATATGTGCAGCAGACACTACCAGATGAGATAGACAAGCAGATCTTCTTTGCACAAATCAGTAACTCATGGTTTATTTAACCCGTGATTAACCCATGGTATATTGTCAAACCCTGTTTGCCTGCTCAGAGCTTGGGTGGTTTGTCTCCCTTCTCTTGAATTCTCTTACTCCTATATTGCACATGCATTTGCAACACAGTAGAGCAGGCATGTCCAGTGGCTGGGTTTTTCGGCCCCCTCACTCACCACCTATCTAAACCAAGAAGCAGCCCATGAACAACTGATGGTTCTAGGTGCACACATAATTACAACCCATGGTTTAAACAACCCAGGGTTTGTAGCCCAACAACATACTATAGGTTCCCTTTCTGGGTTGTTGAGTCTACATATTACAACAACCCAAAATTCAACAAGCCACAGGGTAAATAAATCTAGGGCTAGTGTTAAATGCAAATCAGGTCATCGTGTCTGACCTGATACAAGACTTCTTATGTCTGTAAATACAGTTTCTGCATTCTAAATCTACACATCAGCATCTTTTCCTGGGGCCATTTATGTTTACCAGAGCCCAATATAGTAAAATTGACATACAACCAAAAGTAAACAAAGGGTTGTGCAAAATTATGGAAGAGTTCTCCAATCCAAATATATTTCTGGTGTTGGAAGAAGTTGCATGCCGTAACCCAAACCGTCTGCGCTTTCTGATGGCTGTAGCCATATTACTACACCCCACCCCTTTCTACCCACACACATGTTAAAAAGAATAGTTTTTCACTAACTACTAACATAAAACAGAAATACCTGAAAGAAGGCGCTTTCTGCACACTGCCTCCACAGAGATTCTGACCGTGGTTTATTCTGACAGTATTTCTCATACATCTGAAAATCTTCCCTCTAATAATAATAATAATAATAATAATAATAATAATAATAATAATAATAATATCATCATCATCATTGTGAAGCACTCCCTTCTTAAAGTGCTGAGAGACAATTGTAATCCTTGAGAGATCTGGGTTCTAGTCCCCATGCAGCCAAGAAGCTCACTGAGCCAGTCACAGACTCTCAGACTAACCTACCTCACAAGGTTGTTGTTAGGGTAAAATGGAGAGGAGGAGAACTTTATGAGCCACCTTGGGTTCCTTGCTAGAGGAAGAAAGATGGGATATGTATGCAGTGCCATAGAGAACTAAATGCCTCCTTCCCAGCCCAATTGTCCGGTCTCACAGCACTGCAACCTCCACAAATTCCCAGGAAAACAGTATTTCCCGGGATCGTCTGTAGTCACTCCAGCTCTTGGTCTTCTCTGCCTCTCTCCTGTCTGTCTCTCCCACGTTGTTTATCTATCAGTCCTTGCAGTTTGGAGTCTGTGCTCAAAACTGGCATCACACTCCCAGCTATTTCTGGAATGACATATTCTTCAGGTGAAGTCTTCTGGCTTTCTCCACACCCCCTGCAATCTCCCCACACCCTCCCTCACACACACACAGGAACTACTTGTACTTTCACAAGACAATCTGAATTAGACAACTGGAGAAAAGAGGGCAGTTTGTAGCAGTTTTGTCTAAATGGTCTTCAGTTGGGACCATTTAGGAGCTCCCTGCTCTTCCCATGGAGTTCAGGACCATGGATAGCTCCTTATAAGCTTCGACTGCAGCCCAAAGTCTATATGCCACGCCACTACCTTCCAGTTTCCATTTCATTTACTAAACACGGAGAATCTGGCGCAAAAGGGGCTGTGAGCAGAACTCAGTGGAAAGCTCCAGAGGTTGTTACCATGCTGTACCAAGCATTTAAGAAGAACTTTCATCCACCCCTTCTGAGTTGAGGGGTGCCATCAAGGGTGCTATGCCTGCCTCCCCACTCTGCAATTTATGGAGTCAGCACCACCCAGCCCAAAGAATGCAGCTACTCACCCTTTCCAAGAAACAGTATCCGACTCTCTCTGGTGCTTCAAGGCAGCTCTCCAGGAGGTGGAGGAAAATTCTGCAAAAGGAGGAGAGTGTGCATTTCCCTTGAAGGAAAATGCCAGGAAGCACTTCCTGATAGTCGGGACCCCGAGGGTGTGGAATGGGCTTCCACAGGAGGTGGTTGAGGCCCCATTGGTGCGGGTGTTCAAGGAAAGGCTGGACGCCCACATGGTGGGCATGTCGTGAGCAGAGCTGGCTGGAGCCAGGGGTCAGACTAGATGGCCCAGGAGACCCCTTCTGACTTGCTCTGTTTCTATGAAAACAGTTGGGGAACAAAGACAAAGCATTCTGATTAGGACAGCACTTACTTGTTGTGGAAGTCATAAATCTCAGGCATGTTCCCAAAGAGGACATCTTTGTGGTTTTGCAGCATGGGGGGCAAGAGAAAGGCCATCGTGGGGTTGTCCATCTCTGCTCTGTAGCCCTGTGCCAACAGCATCACTGAATCAGACCTGCGTGCATATTTCTTGCATGCTGTTGCATGTCACTCTCAGCAGTGCCTCTGGAACTCTCACTGGCTCCTGGCCCAGCTTTTGTTCACACTCTGCACGCTCCCCAGACTCACATGTTTTGTGGCAGTGAATGCACAAGCCAATTTGAGGTAATTTAAAAGTCCAATTCTGGTGGGAGAGAGGGGGATTTTTGAATGGAGGCTGCAGGATTGGGGACGGTTTGCTGGTTGGGGGACCTCCTGGTGCCATGTTTGGCCTTTAGCCAGAGACTTCCCTGTCTCTGGTAAAGTCCAACATCTGGTTACCCGACTAGCCAATCATATGTGTAGGAGCCTGTGCAGCCTAGTGGTCAGAGTGTTGGACTGAAACTTGGGAGAAGCGGGTGGAGTAGGAGAAGGCTCTGTTGAATTCAAGGGGCCTTGCTCACAGGTAAGTGGATATGGCATTACAGCACCATATCATGGAGCCAGAATGGCATGGTGGGAATCGAGAGAACTGGGTCCTTGTTTACTCTCAGCTATGAAGTTCACTGTAGGATTCCAGGACTCTCAGCTTAACCTACCTCACAGGATTTTTGTGGGGATAAAATGGAGACAAGCAGGAGAAATATGTTACCTTGCCTGAGTTGTTTGCAAAAAAGAAGGCAGGATATAAATCTAAAAAATAAACATGGCGCAGGGTAGCCTACACGCAGGGCCTCAAAGCTACCTTGCATTTCCTCTAGCAGTTGGTATTCACTGGCATACAGCCTCCGAACATGGCTCTACATTGAGCCATCATGCCTAATGGTCATCAACAGCTTTTTCCAGTGTGAGTTCATCTCTAACTGTTTTAAAGGTAATTTTTCAAAAACAAAAATTCTGCAGTGCTGGATTCCACATGCCAGTTCGTCCCTTGTTTACATGCACAATGGGAAAACTAGATAATCCAGCAAGCAATAAAGTGGGCATCCTATATATATTTAAGGGGAATGAGAAGAAGAAGCAAGGGCAGCACTCACCATTAGAACAGTGAACAATTCCTCCACATACACCCGTTCAGTTTCTATCAGCTCATTTATCACATGGCTAAATGAAAGAAGGAAAACAGGTTCAGGTTATGTAGCCATTCTGCAGGAAGACAGCAATGATAGGCCATACGATCAACAAAATCCAGCTTTGCAAATACATCAGCATGCATTTGAAGACAAAGGGGAAAGGCCATACAAGGTACTAGTCCTCATGCTTAGGAAAATATGCTTGAAAGCATGAAAGCAACATCCAATTATTATCTTTTCAATGAACGGGAGTCCATTTGGGTTAAGCTGAGATGCCTTTTCCCCCAAGGTCTTAAGTGGAAGCCTCCCAAATTCGAGCTATGTCTGCTAGTTTGCTTGCTTGTTCACAGAAGGAAGATCGAGCTTTTCATAGCTAACCTCATGAACAGAAGGTGCTGAAAAGAAAAGGTACCTTTTCAAAATGTCCAAACTGTCTTCACTTTCTGAAATGAAATACTGCAAGGAATTCCTTTTCTCTTGATAATCATGTATAACTTCAATCTGGAGAGAAGATGGGGTGCATTAGAAAGAGAAATCACACTGTGCCAACTTGAGTTTTATTTCATTATGGAGACCTGTTATTCGCACAGATGTCACAATGTGCATGGAACTTTCCCCCTGTGCAAGAAGGCACAACCCTGCCCCAAAGGGTTTGCAAGCTAAATCCAAGAGAGGGGAGCCCACAGAGAAGGGGAAGCACAGTTCTGGCGCAGAGTGGAAGTGGGGTGGAGTGGGGTGGGGGGTGGGGGCTCTGGAAGAGGGAGGAACTGCCTGGATGGCTGAAGGCCAGACAGCTGCTCTCAGCATGGACACTTTATTCCAAGTCCTGCTTATAATTATTTAGCTACCTTGCGAGAGCTTTGAGATTTCCTCGATGTTTTCTTCCCAGGCAGTGAGATATCGAACGAAAATTTCAAACTGGAATTAAAATCCACACCTTGAATGCAAACAAAACCAAAAAAGAGGCCAGATTAAATTTAGTAAAAGCACCACTTATATATCTATCTTTCTATATATAAATATATAAATGTATGAATATTTATAAAAATAAATATATACATTTATTTCTATAAATAAATAAATGAACTATATGGAATTGAATTCAACACAGTTCAGCTCGCACGCACGCACACAAACCTTCCAACCACTCTACAATACCCATTTTAAAAGGTAGAAATCGTCCATGTCTTAATGAAGGCACTAGCATACGATGATCGTATTTATGCCAGTCTTCACTTTATGCCAGGACACCAAACAGCCCAATTAAGAATAGCAAATGCAGAATAAATAAATACATAAACAAATAACAGGCAAAAATAATTCAAAAGAAACCAGGGCAGCCTAATCAGAGACAAATCCATTGAAAACGACACTTAAAACCAGCTACAAAAAATGCTGAGCAAAAGAAGAAAGTCGTCATCTGGCATGAAAAAGCAATCAAAACTGGCATGAGAGAAGAGGGGCATTCCACAGGCAGGATGTCACTTCTGGCTGGACCTTCTTTCCTATCACAGCCCTCCTAATCTTGGTGAACAGCGAGCATGTGGAGCAAAGCTTTGATGTCAACCAGCCCATTCGCAACCTTTTAAAAATGAGACACCCCAGAAATGCCCTTGCAAATCTATAGGGAAAACCAACAAACAATGGCAATGCTATAAAACTGTTGTAATATGATACTGATGTAATAATGAATGCACATGTCTGCAGAAAAAAATGCAGACTGGCATGACAGCAAACTGGGCCAGGGTGGGAGAAAACAGTGCAAAGATTAGATGCTTGCAGGATCCCCCCACCCATCTAAACACGCAGAGAATTGTGCCTTCATCCTCCACCCCAGCCATGAATATATAGACGGATAATATCAGCAGAGAACAGACCAATCAATAAAACACAACAGAAAGATGTTGTTGTGTAAAAAGGAATGCTTTCTTGATTTTGTCAACATTTTGCTTGTTCATTAAAATATTAATGTTGAATAACAGTTATATAGAAGAAGCACCTTTGATGAAGCAATGGGCAAAGGATGGAGGGAGGAAAACAGATGCAGAGGAATGCAAGCAGATATGAAGAGAAGATGCCACATCCTCATACTGTGCTGTTGCAAAAATAAAATGGTCACAAATTACTATTCCCACCAGTCCCATGCTGCTCAAGCAACATTATTAGAAGGAAACAAGCTCCCAGGATGGGGAGAGAGAGCAGCACTTTGCTAGACAAATGGCAGACCACCGGGAATGTAGGAGCAGGGCTATGGTGGAACCCAGTGCCAAGGCAAAGGGTATTGAAAAACCACTCAGCATATTGGAAAAACAGGGGGTGTGCGGCTGAAATCCCTTGGTGATGTCATGCTGACAGGTGCTGAGTTCCCCTGTTCTTCTCCCAAATAAAGCTCCACTCTGTTTTCCCAAGAGATCACTCACAAGCATTTTGGACAATGACTTAAAAGCAAGTTACCATGTTTGGGGGAAAACAGTGGAGATTTTGATCGGGGCGGGTTTTCCGGCCGTGGGGCTACAAGCTGCACAGGGCGCACTTGTTTGTCGGCCAGCTTTCTGAAGCACGCTTGTCTGTTCTCGAACATGCTGCGCACATTTTCGAGCTTGACTTGGACTGTCTGTATCCGGGCCTGTGGATCCCCAAGAGAAACTTCCATCAATGAAAGCCAGCACAACCTGCTATTCAGAGACTTTGGGGATTTACTTAGGCATCTGAAAAGCTGAGTGTTGCATGAAGCAAAGTCATTCCCCATTTCAGAAGAGCAGGTATTCTAGCTGCTCAAATGCATGCAAACCTGATCCGGAACTTTTATAAACAGCCAGGGAACACGAGGCGCTGTTTTGCAGAGGTCCATAGCTCAGAGGCATAGCATGCAAAATGCTGCAGCATCTCTCGTCTGAGTCCATCCACAGCCTCAGCTTAGTCAACATCATCTGCACTGACCAGCATTTTTTCTGGTTTTTCAGGTGAGGGGTTTTCCCAGCCCTACCTGGAGGTGCCAGGTAGGAACTGGAAATGAGACATTATGTGGTCATCATGTGACTCAACGCCCAGTCAGTCAAGCGCAGACCATCCTAAGCTAGATGGATGCAGCAGAGAGCAGCTTCCCATGTTCCTCCTCTCCCTGCAGGTTGGTCCTTTGGTCAGAGATAACAGGTAGCACTGAGGCAGAAGCTGTACCCAACATCTCTAAAATACCCACATAACACACAGCAAACTCCAGCCATGCCACCTCTTGCCTGTGCCATGCACACCCAATCCCATCACCACTTTGGCTTGGGCTGTAAGGTGCCACAGTATCATTGCAAGTTTGGTTGCTCCTTCATAAACCTACCTTGAGTTCAGGTGTTAGAATGAGCTCAAAGACAGAGTACAGGTCTTGAGGATCTGCATTTAAATGCAGTGAAGAGCTCTCGAGGAACTTCTCTATGTCTTGGAGAGCTTTCTGGGCACCTTCCCGGGACTGGCACTTGTCCATTGGCTGGTTGGCTAGAAGATATGCACCTTCGTCACAGCACTCCAGGGCCTGATGGAGAAACAAGACAGGTAGAAACAGATGCATGAGCTCGGCCCCCCATCCCAGGAGGACGGCCAATGGGCAGCCAGCAGTTTTCCAGAGTCTGATCCAAGGTCAGGTCCAGGGACTGCGGAAGGACTAGCTGAAGGCTCGTGTCCTGAATCTACCTGGGGGTCAAGAGGCCCATTTTTGGAGCTTACCTGCTGCAGTGAGGTGAGGAGAGCCAATGTTTTTTGGAGTCGGTTGCGTTTCCTTTTGATCTCCTCCAGCAAGATGTCTGAATGGTGCCGCAGTTCATTGCATTGCTGGCAGATCAAGTTGAGGGCGTAATGGTGGTTAGCTGCCAACTGGTGCCCATGAAGAATCACCACTTGGGCCTTCCCTGTCAGATCCTTTTATACAAAAGCAAACAAGGGAAGTGAGGGGGAGGCAAAAGCTAGTAAGAAGACCAAATTCTACTTCAGGGATCTTCTCCAGGCCACGTCCCAGCGCTGGGCAAGGTCACAGGGCAAAAGGAATAGCCAGAACTACCAGTTTATATTAGCTCATGGTGAGCAGTTGGAATGGGGAAGTGGAGTCTTGGAAACTACCAAACAGCTGATGGTGAAGGGAAAGAGGCATGGCCAAGTTGCCCAGCCCTATTTTATGGGATGCGGGTGTTTTAGTGCATAATCACTTTCAGCTATTTCAATTGATTTACAGCTTGGGACATTCTGGTTTTGTTCTAAGTCACTGTGAGTCCTTCTAGTTTTTGAGAAGTGCATGAAATAAGTAAATAAATAATTATTCTTTGAGAGGCCCTCTGCAAGGAGAGCCTGGGCAAGTCTTACTGCTTTTCCTGAAGGCATCTGTGGTGTTGAGAGCAGGTGATCAGCATCAGATCCAGCTACTGAGTTCAAGCCACAGAAGGGGCAGGGGACCTCAATGGCCAAGAGCAGAAGGGACGGGAGAGGAGGGCTCTGCCTGCAGAGTCTTTCAACAGACAAGCCAGGCCAGGTTTAGGCTTAGGCTTAGGCTCCATGCAAGAGGAAGGCATCCCACTGCATGCTGAGCCAGCTTTCTTTCATGTAAGGCCAAGCTAGAAAGAAGTCCAGCTTTCTCAAAGAACTAGGAGATGGTCTCATGCATATCACAGACCTCTTCCTTTCACCTGTGCTGGTCCCTCATGAGCAACATCTCTTCAACCCATGCTCCTGTTCGCTCCATGGGGAAAATATACAAGAGCCCACGATGGGGTCCAGGGGAGTGCAATACGCAGGATCTCAGCTTGCCCAGTGCTGAGATTCTGATTCGAAATGGACCCAGAATTCGATTGGTCAATGCACTTCGATCTCCTGTCGAACTAGCAATGCTGGGAAGGCAGAGCCAGGATGGCCCTGGGAATGGTGCCACGTTGAGCCTGATCTGTGGCCATTTACTTTGAACCAGGCCTTGTCCTTTATCGACAGCAGAAGGTCACTGCTGGCAGGTGGGGACACGCACCGGACTGGAGCAGGACGAGCGTGGCCCACTGTCTCCAAATCATAGCCTAACTCCGCGTTTGCTGCATGTCTTGCCCCATCCATCCCCCAGGCGACAGACCCCATTGCTGACATGTACATTCCATGCACTATCGCCCACCCTGCTTCACCTGCTTCCTACCATCACCACTGGCTCCTTCCACGTAGGCCTCGCCATTCACTAAGACCACCTTCGGAGGTCCTTTTCTGAGAGCAGCTCTGAAGGAGGCAAGGAGCGTGCAGACAAGGAAAAGGGCCTCCTCGGCTCTGGCACTCTGCTTACAGAACCAGCTCCCCAAAGAGGTGCACCTTACACCAACTCTGTTGTCCTTTCAGCACCAGGCAACCCCCTTTTAATTTCCCCAGCATTTTAATTACTCGGTTTTAGGTGCATGTTGCATTTTACATGGTTTTTCTTTCATTTTCTGTTGCCCTGGCACTTATTTACTATGCATCCAAAGTGTGTTTAATATACATGAGGTTTGTGTGTCAGGCCTACAGGCTCTGTTGATACCATTTTTATCTGAGTATTTGTGTAAACATTTTTCTTATGGGTGTTTTGTACATTTTAATGCTTTCTGGACTGTTTCAGAGAGCTCTTGGTTACTGCACTTACAGAAATATTTTAAATCAGTAAATAACTAAACTTTGACTTGGCTTTTATAGTTCCCTTACCTGGCGAGGTAGTGGAACTAGGATGTAGCCCTGGGATATTTTTATCGGTGGAAATGCTGCCATCTGCCATTCCAGCACAGGTGTCCCTTTTTTCCTTTGAGCTTTACTACAATCCCTGCAATAGCCTGGAAGTGGGAAAATTCATTTTCCCGGCCACAGTACATGCTCTCTGTGGCAATGCAAAGGAATTGCTCTTGAAAGGGCAAGCCAGCTTTCTCAGTTAAGGCTGCTCCTGGCAGACATGAAAATGGCCAGAAATAGTTTGCTGAGGTAGATCAGTGCAGCTGTCTGCAATTTTCAGACTCTTCTTGTGCGGTGTGGGTATGATGTCTGTCACGCTGAGTGCCTGCACTGCAGAGCTTGTCCTGACATCACTGCCATCGCCACAAGTTGAAATAAGACTTGCAACTAATCAGCTGGATTCCCATTCAGTATGGGTTCAGAGTAGGTTGTCATGGAAACATGACTTGCTACGTTGTGTGAATCCACTGTGTTACAACTCACCAAGGCAACTAGGGTTGCGTGATGGCTTGTGAACTGTGAGTTGTTTGCAGTTAAGAAACCATGGTTTGTTAGTGTGGCTGAGTTCACACAACACAACAGCCAATGGTTCAATAACAACCCACAGCTCAATGACAACCCACATTCAACCCATACTCTGGCTTGTTGGGCGATATGAGCTTCTAGGTTGCTATGAAAGGATGGGGACAGGTGTTCTTCCTGTCCTCAAGGGGACAAAAGCCTTACCTGTGACATTTTGTCCAAGTTATCCAGCTCTAGAAGCCTTTGTTTGACTTGAGACACGTTGTCTGCAGTATCTGGAAGTTCTCTTTGCTGGTCCAGTAAAAACGCAATGGCTTTGCTGAGCTAAAAGGGGGAGGGATGATTAATGATAAAGGAGGCACTAATTCATCAAAGGGCCATGCATAAGCTCCTGTGAGGCCAAGTGAATAAGACAAAAACGGGGTTTTCATTCTTCTTCATGCCGGAAATTATGGAGTGGCACCTCTTACCTCTTCAAAGTGCTGCTCAAACCTCCACAGCTGCAGATATTGCTCCATTTTCAGTTGATGTTTCTCCCAGAACCCGTCGAAAGCAGCTTCCATCTCATGCAGCTGTGCAAGCAATCTTTACACAAGAGGAAGCAAGGTGTTTGGTCTTCGTTTTGAAAGAGGCCCTCAAACACATGTTGCAGTGACAAACCCTCCCCTGCGGCCCAAATTCAAAACATCCTGCTCACTGTTTGCACATCGTTGGCCTTTCTGTATCAGGCTGAATCCTTTGAGCCATTTGTAATCTGCTCAGGGAACATTTGTTGGTGGACAGAGTCAAAAGACAACAGCCGGATACTCTGATTCAGCCTTTGCTATCACCCATTTTCCAGAGAATCTGGCCTGGGATTTATGGCTTCATCAACCGTATTTGTTTAATCAAATGATTTTTAATCCACTCTTCAGTCCACAGGCCCCAAAACTAGAAAGCGTTAGTAAAAGATTCCAAGGCATTTACTGAAGCATTTCAAAGCATGCAGGAAGGGCTGGGTGAGCCATGAGCAATAGCTGAACCAGGAGCCAAACTGAAGATCACAGGTCCAGGGCGAAATTCCACTTCAGAGAAGTTCTGGGGGGGCTTTGCCCGAGAGATAGGCAGGGGCAAAGGCAAAAACAGGGTGAAAATGAAGTCAGGGGGAGGTAGGGCCGCAAATCAGAAAGCACTATCACACTTAAGATTTTCAAGATTTTGCAGGAGCTAAGCCTTGGAGGAGGTATTGGGATCCTTTAAAATCAGAAAAGGCTGCATAGGAGGCAAGGAACCGCCAAGCAGTCAGGGGGTGGAGGGGGAGGGGGTGTGGGCTCCTGGGGAAACTGGGAAGGTGAGAAAGGGGGTCCCACAAATCTGGCAACTGGAGCAGTGATTTTGCAAGGCCCAAGACATCAGCGCCACCTGAGAAGGAAGCAGGCAGAGCAACAAGAGCTGTTCCCGAGACGGTGCCATTTGCATCTATAGCTACACTACATGGATTGGCCTGTGAGAGAAAGAGAGAGAGAACGGAGACGAGGGAAAGGGAGGGTTGGTGAATAAAGAAAGGGGAGAGGCGGGTGCTGGTGGGGCTGTTTCCCCCTTGGAGGAGCTCTCCATGGTGCTCCACAGTGGGGAGCCTCTTTGGTGATGGAGTCTGGCACGCAGCTGGCTCCTGTAAGGCTGCAGTGGATGGAGGCCCCCACTGACGCACGGGTCCCCAGCGTCGCCAGCAGGAAGGGTGGCTGCTTGTGTACCGCATGGCGCCTGCGTTTGTGTGACTGTGCGTGCTATTAAGGCGGGGAAAGGGACGATGGAGGCGTGGCGTGGCCATGGGAGAGAGGTCGTGAGGCGTGAGGCACCCACACACTCACCGGTTAACAGTCTCCCAGTCAGCGGACCTCTCCTGCGCGTGCTCCTCGCTGGGCTCCTCTGCCTCTGGCTCTTCTAAACCGCTCAGGAGCATATTTCCCTCTTTGGTAACAGTTGTAATATCTTCCTGCCAAAGAGACCAAAGTGCTGCTGGTTATTGTTTAATTCCCTTTGCCGCTCTGCAAACCAAATATCATGAAACACCCAACGACTATCGCAGCCTTCTACCAACCTGAGGCCTTCCAGGTACGTTGGCCTTGCAAATCCCATCATCCCCAGCCAGCACAGCTACACTGACTGGGAATGATGGGGTTTCTCATTCCAACATCCTTAGAAGGCACCACATTTAGGAAGGGTGGACTAGACTTTGCCTTTAGAAAGTTGACTGGACACATGGGGCCCTTTCTAAAATTATCCACTTCAGGGAAGCGAACATTCAACAACGCAGCTAAAGCTGCAGATGGCAAGATCCCACCAGAGAGCCAAAGACTGCCTGGAGACCAAGGAACGATGCTGCCATGACTTGCCTTCAGCTGGTAGTACTTCTCGGTGCGCAGAGCCAGGATGCGCTCAATCGAGTAGGTGTCGTCCGGCAGCTCTGTCTCCGCCAGCTCCATGCCGAAGGACTGCAGCATCTGGGCAATTTCCTTCACGGTGAGTGCAAAACTTTCTATGGCCTGGGAAAAAGCATTTGTTCCTTCATCAAGCTGCACTCGGGTTCATGGACAAGCCCAGTCAAAGTGGCACCAAGATGTGGCTTCTGAGAGTTGATCTGTTGATTGATCTATTCATTACATTTCTATATCACCCAGTAGCCACATCTCCCTGGGCAATTCTCAAAAATTAAAACCCCAAAATGCTTATGATAAATTATGGCAAATATGGAACCCGCTAAAGGTTCTGGGCAGAACAGAAGCAGAATAAAAATCTGCAGCAATGCAGGAAAGCCTGGGAGAATAAGCAACCCCTTTGCTTGCTTCTGAAAAGGTCACCATCAAAGTGGTCCATGTGTCAGCAAGACAATAGCAGCCTTAGCTGGACCTCCCCTTGCCCTTTCACACTCCCACCCTACGCAATCATATTTGCGTGGGTTGGTTGCCGTGGGAACCTTCTTACACACAGCTGCACAACGCATCTGCAGCACAGATGTGAGAAGGACTTACTGTTCTGAAAATGACCCATTCTCTGTGGCAGTACTCCAAGGAGCCCCCATACTCAGGAGTCAGTTGCTTTTCATCGATGTACATCAACAAGTCACTGACTGAACTCAGCATAACAACCTAGAGGAGAGCAACATAGAACAGAGCCATTGCTTGCCTCTGCAAAGGGAACAGAAATGTCAATATCCACAGGACTAGAAACTTGGTCCAAGGGAGGCATTTCACTGAATGCACATTCAGTTACAGTCAGGGTACAGCCTGACCAGGACCATGGAGGGACCTCACTCAAGGAAGACTTTGGGGAAGCTGTGAAAAGTTAGCACAGTAGGAGACATGGGACAACTCACTGAGCTATCAAGTCCCATGGAAGTCTCGTCAGACCCCTGAATGACTTGTCACCACGTGGGCACAGTGGTCAGCTCTGCTGCAGACAAACCTCTTATCCTTTTGCAATATAATGAATTTAACGTGAATCAAACATTGCCTTTCTTTTTCCCGTAGCACTATGCAATAGCCACAGAAGGCTAAGGCAAAGCATCTTTTGTGTTCACTGTAATTAAAGTGCCTTATAGCTAAACCACAATGAACAGCTCTAGAATGCCATGCAGGTAAAGCAGCCAAGTTTAACAGGGTGGAAGTTATGCAAGGAAACACGGGAGGGGTCATACCGGCAGCTTGAGTAGGAAGTCTTCCTGGCTGAACCGAAATCCAATGTCGGTAAAAGTACGCTGGAAAAATCCAGTGGGACGCAGAACCATCACGAGGTGCAGGTTGCCAGGGAAAGATGCCTATATAAGGTGACAGGATTGGAGTGGAAAGAGAGAGAATCCACATTACCCTTCTGCACAGAGATGAAACCCCAATTCAGTGCTAGGAAGAGTTCTCCAGCATAAGGAAAAAACAGGGCTAGGCAGCCCAGATCCAACCAGACACTGAGGTCTGCAACCCTTAGCCGGGGCTAGTATCGTGGGTGAGCAAGGTCAGGAACTGCCAAGGGCCAAACTCAGCAGGATCCCACCATCAGGAGCACCCTGGAGTGTGTGGCGAGTGGGCCCATCTCTGGCTCACTGAAGGCTGTTCTGGGGAGTCCTTGTCACCAGGAAGTGGAGGAAGAGGAAGAGGAGGGGCAAGGGCAAAAGGAGGCTGAACCTTCAAGGTGGCACCTTCAAGGTGCCCCAGTGAAGTCTCTCACACTGAGCACAAGAAGCCTTCTGTTTCTGAAGACCGTGACTAGTTTTGGGAGGGGAGGAAGAGCAGGTGTGGGACCCAATTCTTGATCCTGTAAAGGGGCCATTGGGAGAGACAAACTCCACAGATGGAGGGGCTCCTTTGCCCTCACCATCCAGCTTTCAATGGCAAGAAGCCCTCTGAAGGTGCAGCCAAAGGGAGGACCATGGCAAAGTGGCCAGCTTGGACTCAACACTTTCCATGAGCAGAGACATCTCCTTCTAGCTTTGATAAAATGCCATTTGGAGTTAAGCTAGTTGGCTGACTGTGGAATTAGGGCGGAAGACCTGCATTTCGAAGGACACTCTTCAGTCTTGCCAAGCTGAAGAAGGGAAAGACCTGGTCCATGACAGAACATTTCCTTCTCTTCACTGCTGCAGGCTGCACCAAGGAAGAGGCGGGAGATGCCAGGACCTCCTGGCTCTTCCCCGTTCAGCAAGCAAATGGGAGCAAGAGCAACTGGCGGCCCCCTCTGGTGGGAAGGGGGGCTCATGGGAAGGGGAGCACAGAGGGAGCCTTGTCCATGGGCCCGGGAGAACTTTAGCCCTCACAGCCCTCAGTCATCATGGCTGTTGGCTAGGAATTGTGGGTGGGCGGTGGAGCCCAAGACACCTGCACAGGAAGGCCAGAGAAATTTCTGGAAAGCAAGGAATTTGAGATGCAACAGGGAACCTAAAGGGGAGGTGGTGGGCCATCAGGAGAGCAGATGCTAGAGCCACATCCAAGTTCTGTGGGTCTAAAGCAGCTCCATTCCCCTGAAAGCACCTAAGTCAGGGCTTAGGATGAGATGGGAGAGCTGGACCTTCATTCCTCTCATGTAGGACTGCAAAATTATCTGATTTTTTTCATCCCTCTGCTTGCTTGCTCTCTCTCTCTCTCTCTCTCAGCTTTCATATTATTTCAGCATGCAAGTTCATTCTTGAAAGTGAAAAACTGGGTGAAAATATTAATGAAACAAACCAGGGCCTTTGTATTCCCACCAGTCAGGGTGCTGTGGTGGTGTGGAGTGGGACTGGAGGAGCCGTTGCCCCCCCCCCCCAGCCAGGAAGCTCCCCGGGTGACTTTGAGCCAGTCTCCCACTTGCAGAATCACCTTTCTCACGGAGACCAGGTGCCCTTTGCAGCATCCTCCTTCCATTCTTCATATATGGCAGAGAGGTGGCATAGCTTTGGCTCCTGTTGCTTTCAGCATTAAAGATGCCCCCCCCCCAAAAAGAAGGAAAACCCTGCACAACAACCCCACCTGTGAGAAGCCATAGGGATATTTCTCCTGCCTCCAGAGAAACTTGGGGAAAGTGCACTAGGCCATGCATCGCACCACAGGTGGAAACATGCCATCTGGATGCAGCATGTTCCTGAGGGCTATTTTTAAGATGGGCTTAAAATAAGGAAGGGAAGCAAATGCATTGCCAAACCCTCAGTCCAATTTAAGCCAATGGGAATTCTGCCAGGGACCAAGCACTGGCTCTTCAGAGAAGAGAAAGCTCCTGGATCACTGTGGGTAAGATGGGCCCCTGGTCCAACCCTGCGGACCTCATGCCCATCCACAAACCATGCATTGCATGCTTGCCAGCACACACCCCGGGATGGTTTGCTTCATACTCTATGGGTCCCCAGATGGTTGGGGATGGCTTGCCATGCATGACCCCATCCACAAGGGGGAGCCTTCACTGTGAAGGCTCTTTGAAATTAATGAATCGTTTTATCTCTTAGTTGGAGCTGGGCTTGTCCTGACTAGCCACCTGAAAACGACTGGAGATGGCGGGTTCAGTGGGTTCTAATTCCTGGGAATGCAACTGGAGGATCCCAGGTGGACCAGCTTTTCCCATGGATTCTGTGGACTGGAATTTTACACACATTGTGTCATAGAAAAATAACAATTATACAAGACCAAAGATGTACTTTCTCCCTATAGACCAAAGCACTGAAATGCATACATGGGGGGTAATTTTGCATTTGCACAAGAGTCAATTTGTGCAAGTACAAATAGATGCAAGTTCCAGGTTTTTTTGGGAGGGAGGGGGGGAGAATGACACAGTTCCATCAATGAACTGATGAAAGGGGATCAACAACGTGAAATGCAGATGGGACAGATTAAACACATCCCTAGAAATGAGTAGTGCTTATTAATCCTCACTGTGCACCCCAAAAAGATCTGAGCATCCTACAGGCCTTTCTGCTGGTCCTGCTCATCAAATCACATCCTTGCTACCTTAAATCTGGCCCTGGAGTCAGAGAGGGGGAAAAAAATAAAAGGAAGCAGTCTTTTTTTAAACCTTGCCTCCTGTCCTTACATAAGCAAATCTGTTCCATTCAGATCCCTTGCCATGCTGCACCATTCTCCCCCCTTCAGAAGCATTTCATTTGCAGATGGAGCTTGCCACCCTGTGCCCCATTTTCAAATCCTGCATCTCTGAAATCTTCACCTGAGAGCTAAGGAAACGTCACTCGGGGGAACTGCTTGACTAAGGGCCTCTCTTAGAAAACCGCCTTCCTGTCCTTGTCACCACAAAAAGTATAGTGGAAATAGGAAGGGTGACTATGATGCAGAAGTAGACTTTTTGGGGGATGTGGATCAAATTGGTCACTTTAAATCCCTTTTGATACCAGAGGGAGTAAGTTCTGCATTTGTCTGACCTTTGCAGAGTGACATAAAATGCTTAACTTGGGCTGGTTCATGCCCAACACAACAGCGATTTAAAGTATAGATCAAAAATTAACAGTGAAACCTACAAGGATATAAAAACTAGTTCTTCAAGAAAATGATATCTTTTCCAAGATCAGTTGCCTTTTTATGATAATAATTATTTGCAGAACACATGGAGATCTGAATAGAGTAAAAAGCTGCTGGAAGAGCTTCTCCAGGTTGGACTTTCCCATCTGGGTACCTTCCAGACGTGTTTGAGGGGAACTGCATAATTTTCAGCCAGGCTTAAATCTTTTTTGCTGTAGCTGAGCTTTAGGGGAGACATTTCAACCTTCCAGAATAACCACAAAAGAATCAGCAAACCACCTAACCATGAATAGTTGGTGGGGGGACGGGGCAGGGGAAAGCAAGTGGATCCATTACGATCCGTGTGCTAGAGACCAGGTGTGTGGGGTGAGCAAAAAAGAGGGAGGGGCAATTGCCTTCCTGCTCTCTTGTGGGTTTCCTAAAGGCACCTGCTTGGCAGCTGTGGGCAAAGGTAGCTCTTTGGTCCAACTCAGGAGGGCTCTTGCACAGCGATTGGATTTTGGAGAGGAGCAGTAGATGGAGAAACTCTTGGGGTTCTGATAGATTAGATCAGAAAGCTTCAATAATTTGCACGGTTGACTTTGTCCTCTTCTTCTGATCAGCCTATTCCAAAGTCTGTGTAGTTTCGGACAGACATATGATCAAAAAGCAATGGAATAGTTACCATGGAAGGGGTAGGAACGCATTAAAAAGTTGCCCAAGTCAAAAGTGCAGTTTTGCCATATCCCCCCCTGTGGATTCCCCTCCCCTTGGGCAAACCCAACTTGGAAGAAGCAGGCCTTTGAAGAAGTCAGCTTTCCCCCAAGAAGAATCCAACAGAACAGACCATTCAGAGCAACATTGCTTTTCTTTTAGCAAGCTCTACAGTCTGGTAGACAGAAGCGCTCCAGACCCTTCAGCCTGTCAAAGGGTGAAAACTCCTATTTGCATCAGCCCCGTTTCCAGACCAAAGATTCTGGGATATTTTTATCTAAACATGCCTAAGATTATGCCCTTGCTCTGAAATAACTTGTCACACGCCAGCTATTCTGAAGCAAATGTGTGATTTTCAATGCCACCCCCATACACACCAATCATGCACCTCATTGAACAGAAAGTTAACCTTGCAATGGATTTGCCTGCACTTGTAGAAAGCTGGCAACAGAAAGGTTCAGAAATACTAACGAGTTGGCGAGGGGTTTGTGAGGGAGTGGAGTGCAAATGCAAGAGTCATGTGCTTGCATTTTGTGTCCGTGCATTTACACGCATGTGTGCTAGAGTGCCCTGATGTAACTTCTAGAGAGGCTAGGGAAAAGACATCCGTGCAGGTGACCTGACTATTTTTAAAAGGGATCCCGAGGTGCATAAATGAATGAATAAATGAGGGAGTCTAGTTTTTCAGAAAAATTGGTCTGTTTTGGCAAATAGTACAGACCCTTGTAGGATGTGCGCACAAGCAACTTGCAGCTGGAAAATTTGGCCTATTTTCTATGTTCAAGGTCTTCCGAATTTCTGTTCAGTTTATCTCTTGCAACCTTCATAGAACTGATGTAACAAATGGATTCTGAAGTTTCCCTTCTCTGTCTCTCTCTGTCTCTCTGTCTCTCTCTCTCTCTGTCTCTCTCTCTCTCATACACACACGCACGCACGCACACACACACAGAGATTGAGAGAGAGAGACGCACGTTCCCAAGGCGCTCTGTGTAAATCCAGTGCCAGCCTCACTCTATCAAGGCTGACCAGGGCTTTGGAAGGCTATGCAAAAGGCAATCCAAGTGTCGTGTGCCGAGAAGCTTCCGCGTGTGTGTGCGTGCCTTCATGCATCTCCTTCCTGAGCACTGCGCTTGGCAGCCCCTCCGAACACTGCACTGCTGCATCGAGGCAGCCTCTCAACTTAGAATCCCTTTGCCAAAGGAGAAAAAAAAAAAAAAAAGGCTGCAGGCAGACGGAGCCCTTACCGCATTCCTTCGGCACCTCATCTTGCCTCTTGGGGAACCCGCTTCAGCCATCTCCCTTGCACGCAGGAGCCGATTACCTTGCCCAGATGTCAATGCGGCATCAGTGAAATAGGACCCGTGTCTCATGAGGCACTTAAAAATTGCCAGGGATAGACGGCCTCCTACACAGTAGCTTTTCCTGGTGCAGCATCACTGCCCAGGAGACAGGGAAACTCCTTGCTCGTATCAGTTCCATGGGTCACACATGTTCCCATAATCCACTAATCCCCGACTAAAGCTGTCTGGCCGATAATCCGGTCTTCTGCCACGGTAAGGCATGGGTGCCAAAACTGTGAATGGCTGTTGGCTGTGCTAGCCGGCAAGAGGGAGGGAGGGAAAGGGGAGAAGGAAATGTTCTGCAGCCAAGAACAGCCGTGCATTTTTAAGGTGGAATGCAAGAGATGGGAAGCACATTTATTTTCCGCTGCCGTGCTCACCCACAGAGCGACCGAGAACCCTGGAACCCTCCTTTTCAGGACGGGCAGAGGAAGCCAAAGCTTTTGTGCACAAAGAACGCCTCAAGATGCCAGTGGGCACCACAAGTGTTCTGCGTGCAGCTTGAGGGTTTCATGGCAGCCAAGAAAGAAGTGTTGGACTGAATTCAGGAGGTGACAGGGGTGAAGGGTAGATGGTCGTGGTGGGGAAGGACACCAGGAGAAGATGCCAGGATGCAATTAGGCAAATTTGTGGAGGAGAAGGCTCTCCATGACGGCTAGTCCTGATGGCTCTACGCTACCTCCAGGATCAGAGACAGTTGCTGGGGAACATGGGCACAGGCAAACTGTTGCGCCTTGTCCTGCTTGTGAGTTTGCTCTGGACAGTAGGACTCTTCCTATGCTCTTATGAGGATCCAAAGGTGCAGGGAGCTGTGCTTTTCCACATCAACAAAGCATCTCCAGCAGCTTTCACCTCCACTAGGAAAAGGTCTCTGGCCATAATTGCCCATTCCTGACCAGGCTACCCCAAACTACTTTGCACTGCAACCAGGATGCATCCCACTGAGATATTATTGCTGGGAAACTCCACTTGTGACTGCCTCCTCTGCAACTGTGCAGGCAAACTCAGAGGGAAGGTGCACAACTGAGAAGCCTGGAAGATGAAGTCATAGTTCCTGCAAATGAAAAAGCATCCTGAAAGCCCAACCCCTTTACTCCAGGCATGACCCTAAGTCCCCAGTAGCAGAAGAACTAAAGAAGGACTTACAGCTACCCTTTGCAGAGTCATTTTGACTGACGTCCATGTATCCAGCCGCCTGTCCAGGATTAGGATAAACTTGCTGTCGGATTTGCGCTGGCTAAAACATGAGAAAAGAGTGGGCAGAGGGAACAATGTGCACTGCTTACATCTGCCCCAGAGGCACAAATCAGGCAAGCAATTCCCCATTCCCAAGTTCTAGAAATGGCTCTCTGTGCATAAGCATTCATTGCCACTACAACCACTCACAAGAAATGACCCCTGAAGATTATCTCTGGCAAGGGAGATGTTCTGGAAAGTGGCTGTGGATGGGCTAGGGCAATTTCATAAGAATTTGTGCCCTCTGCATTCATAGTCAGAGAATGAGAATAGCAGTTGGAAGGAGCCATGACGGCCATCAGGCCCAACCCCTGCACAGAGAGTGGCAGGACGACAGTTCATATCATCCCACTCGGATGTTGCATATCCCTCGGAGAGAAAGAAAAACTGGAACTGGAGACTTCCTACATCAGTTTTTTAACAATCCATTTACTGTTTTTCTTTCTGGTTAAAGAGCACAAAGTTGAGAGAAGGAAGACAGGGTGAATTTTCCCAGTGGAGGCATGTAAGCAGTGGGGTCCCACAGGGATCTGTATTCAGACCAGTACTGATCCCACTATTTGTTCATAGATGAGCTGGAATTAGCAGCAGACAGTGAGCTGAGAAAGGCGCTGATTTTGCCCGGGGTGCTCTGGCATCCACGCTCTGTTTAGGAGCTTCCCATGGGCAGCTCATGTCCACCGCTAGACTGGATGAACATTTAGACACTAGTAATGGGATGGTCCATAAAAACTTTGAATAGATACATAGATAGATAAGACAGATAGATTGATAGAACCTTTCATCTAATCCAACAGGGCTCTTCTTGTGTTCATGATTTCTTCTGCATCACAGTTTTCAGCCAAGGCTTTGTCTTTTTCGAACACGCTCAGTGAGCATGGCTTGCGCCATTTGGCTGGAAAACCATTCCCTCCACCGAATTCTCGGGGCACTTGTGTGCAGCATGGATGATGTTCAAGCTGGGCACCTCCAGCACCTAATTTACATTCTTTTAAGCTCTGGTTTTCTCGAGCGTTTTCATCTCCCAGTCTGTGCTGCCTTCCAGCCGCGACTTAAATCTGTATTTGTGATCTTTGTGTTACTGCCAGGTTCTATTTTCTTAATATTTTTTTCATTTAGCATTGTACTTTAAACTTTTTCTATTGCATTTGATTATGTTGAATTTTATGCTTTTAATGGTTGAGAGCTGCCCAGAAACCTTTGTCCACTGAGTGGTTTAGAGCTGTAATAAATAAATGTTGGCTGTCCCCTTTCCACAGCACTCAGCTCTGCCAGTGAAACGGCAAGCACCACACATGTGCAAAGTTAACACACACATGTGCACACACCCTCGCCCTGCTGTGGAAAATCACTCATTTGCTTTCATCCAGGCTATAATTCCAAGAAACCGGTTCCCAGTGTACTCGTCAGAAAATTAATGAATGGGTTGCTTGGAGGACACCTGCTGCCTGGAGTTCAGGCCCCATATTCAGGCCCCATGTTCCACCAAGTCCAGCAAGTCTGAGGCAGCCCTTGGGTTCCCTTAGATCCACGCTCCAGTGGTGGCACAGAGCTAGAAGGACCATCTCAGGAGGATGGGAACTGCATGTGCACAGCGGCAAACAGGAAAGCACAGAGGCTTGTGGTGGTGCCACAGAACTGCCCTTGCAGGACCTCAAGATGCTGAGGCTGCAAGGAGAAGAAAGGGGAGCCGCTAAAGGCAGGACTGGTGCGTGGCCTGAGCACCCAAATTGCACAGCACATGGACCAGCAGAAGCTTTGCTCATCCTTTCTGTCCCTCTGTAGGGGAGACAGTCTTCTTCGCTCTGAGTTTTCTTTTCTATTTAGTTTTGTTTTCTGTTTATTATTCAAAACTTTTATATGCTGTCCTCTATGCGTGGCATCTCAGGATGGCTTACAAACATTGAAATCAAAAACAAATAAACAATTAATAGAGAATAAACAATTTTCTAAGCATAGAACGTCGGAGTGGAAGGGGAGGTGTACTAACAAATACTCTGGCTAAGGATGCTTTGTGTCCAGCAGGCCTACCGTTCAGACCTGCACATCTCCTCCGTGAGGAGCAGCAAATGCTCTCAGAGCACCAATAATTTCCAACCTGCACTATTAAGGGAGGCACTTCTGCTGTATTAGTGGTTCAATCGCAATGATGATTCTGACTAGTCCCCCCCCCGCCCACTTCCCCTTGGGTTCTTCCTGCTTCCTGGAGGCACTGGCTGGAATGATTACGCACAGGTGTGTTAAAGAAATGCATGTTGACTTTTAATTATTAGCTTGGGAAGAAACATATTTGCAAAAGAAACTAACCAGCAAAACTTGTCAGATGTGTGTGCGTGTTTTAAATTTCACATGTGTGGCTTTCAGTTTTAAAGAAGCCCCCCTTCTCTTTGCCAAGTTTCTTGTCCACAGTGAACATGGCTAGATGCTTTCTGTTACCTTTGGCTCCTCTCCCTCTCTCAGTTTGAGGTGTTCCAAGTGTGTAAAGAGATGACTTCCATAGCTCAGCCTCCCTTAGCATGGTTACCTTGATGCCTATTCTGCACTGAAATATCCCTCCACTGTTACAATACAGACTAATGCTACAAATAAATAAAAACCAGACATGTTCTACTCCCTTGTAAACAGCAGCAGATGCAGTTGCCTCAATAGAGTCTGGGAGAAAGTGGTGTGGGAAGAAAGTTAAAAAGCTGCCAGTGCTAGGGGAAATGGGGAAATGTCTGTATTGTTGCCACATGCAGATCAGAAGTGTAGCTTTCCTTCTTTAGGGACTACAGAAAATAAGCTAACATGTAACATTGTATGTATTTGCTATAACTCCAAAATATCTTAACACAATTACAGTTTCTGAAGATAATAATACATCTTTTTTCCTTGGCATTTGGAATTCTTTCTGCTCTTTCTAAATCACTTTCTCCTTCATACCTGTGCCTTTCCTTCTCATTCAATCATCAGAACTTTCTTGTGGAATAAAAAACTATCTGATTTTAATCTTGTGCTCTTCTCCAAGTAGCTCACGGTGGCATGTTTGGTCGCATCCTCACATCAACCCTGTGAGGTAGGATAGGCCGAGAGACAGTGGCTGACCTAAGGGCTGGATGGGAATATAAGCTTGGAAAGGACTCTGTGAGCAACATCTTGGAATTGACCATTGTGATGAGCAACCTGCGTCTCCCACATGAAGAACATCAAAAAAGAAAATCAAGATGCAACCTGCATCTTCTGCGCCATTTCCCTTCGACTCATAACCCGCCTCGTAACCGTTCCCACTGCAGAATGCCAAGAACGCAAAACAGCTCAACACCTCTGGGCGTCAACCCAAAGGCAAGATTTGTACCTTGGGATCCAAGTTAAGTAGGTTAACACCTTTGTCACAACCTCCTCGGGCATTTGGTTGAAATGGGAATTTTCCGGAAGGGTTATGATCCAGCCATTTTCCTTTCCTCGCCCACCTGGGTGGGGCAAAAGAGAGAATGTGGCAGCAGGATGCACAGAAACCTCAGATGAGAGGCTAGTCCCTCCAACGATGCTGAGAACTCTTGTGGGTTAGGATTTTGCTCACGTTTCTGCTCCTGACCCGTTTGGGACTTATATTCCATTTGTGTCTATGCCTTTCTTCCTAGGGTGGCCATGTACCTGTTTGGAATGTGTCCCCTGCTTGCAGGGCTGTGACGTCAGCTTTGAGGATAAAGAACTGTAAGAAAGGCGCGCCCAGAAGCTGCCCATGAGCAAAACATCTGCATGGCCCAACTAAGTTGCCTGGACAAATGAGGGCCAGCCATTCAAAATGTGCATCTATACACTGGGATGTCAAGATCAGGCCAGGCTCAATCTCTCTTGGGATCTCTGGACTTCTTGTCCTCACTTGGCACTGGCCAGGAAACAAGGCAAGTGGTGTTCAATGCGCAGGAACACCAGTGACTTCGTTGCATGAAAGAAGCAAATTATGCAATTGTTTGCGCAAAGCACACAAGGCCCGCCAGGTCACATGTGTGGAAGCAGAACTGTGCTGGAAGTTGCTTCCTGTTGGACACCCATGTGAATGCTTGGGCAGAGAGAAAATAAGCCAGCCTAGGGAGCTGAGGAAATACACCCCATTCCCACCCCCAGCTGGGCTATTTGCCTATCCTGATCTATACATAAGTTGTGTCTGCAAAGCAGTGCCCACTGTTGCCGCTGTTTTCCTTTCAGCTCCTGCTCAAGTGGCTGCTCTCCACCACCTCCACTTCTGCACCCACAGAAGGCTGTGGAGCAGCATCGCAGTGAGAAGCAAAAATGCTTACCAGAAAGATACGCAAACTCTTTCATCAAGTCATCGGCAATGTCCTTTGCACGGGTTGGGAGAGCTGATTCTAGCAAACAGGAAAGGCATCCGTTAATCCCTGTGCAGTTCCCGGCCATATTTTTCAGCCCTTGCCTAGTCCAACTATCTATAGTCACAGCCAATCTCCCTTCGTCACATTCTCCCCTTGCCTTGTCCACCACTGAGCTTCTTCAGAGCACCTTCTTGTTGGCTCTTTCATTAGTTCCTCATCTCCCATGCCTCATTCCTGTTTTACCCCCACCGTTCTTTCACGCCCTCCCCACACCTTTGCCTCTGGGTCCTCACCCATGCAACAATGCACATGCCTTGGAATCATCCAGTCCATGCCCTCCTATCCCAAGACTGCTTCCCAAACCACAGCCAAGCATGTCAAAGGACTTCATGTCCACACACAGCCCAGTCTGAGGTCCTTATTTCCAGCTCTGTGATCCTGAGGTCCATTTTTGCATGACGGGGTTCAGAACCAGTAAACCACAGTACAAAAGTGTGCCATTTTCTTAGTTAAAATGGCCATGAGCTGCCATGATTTCCTCAATCAAGCCAGGTGTGTGGCATCTGGCCTGAATGGTGCCCAGCACATAGCAAGCAAGCAACGTCCTTCTGTGCAGCAGTGCATTTTGCAACTGGATGGGAATAGCACACTGCATTATCCCCAGCTATGGAGACTCTCCCACAGGGCCAATGTAAGACAACTCAATGCTGACTGATTATACACATACGTATTGCTGCTACTACTCTTAATAGCAAACAGTTGACAAGGTATCAGCTATAGTCCAATAATCTTTCTGGACCCTGACCACATTCTAAAGCTGGCTGACCCTTGAGTTTTAGTGATGTAGCAGAAACTCTGCACTTCTGCTTTGCTGTGATCCCCTTTCAGTGAGACCTTGTCCCTTTCCAATTGCACATATATCTTCATATGGGTCATTCTGGGAGGACAGTCAGAAAATAGATCTGTAAAATAGACGAACTAAATCAATATATTCTCAGGGGACCAAGCTCTCTCCTTCCCCTGGAAAATGTACTGTGCCCATTCTCTGTATTCCTCACGGACCAGTTTTTTTCGCCTGATGATGCCCCAGAAAGGTGGATTGTGAAGAGAGGCTGCTTTCAAGCAAGCATCTGGATGCAATGCTTCAGGGGAGGCTGTGGCATCTTTCCTGATGGGCTGGCTGGGTTGGGGGTTGGTGGCACAGCTTTCTGGTGGTTCTGCTCCTACCTGGCTGGCCGATCCCAGATGCTGTTCCCAGGATTTTGTGGCTCTGTGCCATGGGGGCCCGCAGGGTTCCATTTTATCCTCCATGCTGCTCAATATCTACATGAAACCACTGGGTGGCGGGGTCATCCAGAGACCTGGGCTGAAAAGTCGTCAGTATGCCAATGACACCCAGCTCTACCTCTCGTTCTCATCCAATCCAGGTGAGGCAGTGACTGCTTTAAACAGGTGTCTGGATGGTGGGACAGACTGGATGGGGGCCAATAAATTGAGGCTCAATCCAGATAAGACAGAAGTGTTGCCAGTGGGTGAGCTGGCTGTTCAGGTGAGTGATACTCACCCTGTCATGGACGGGGTTGCACTCCCCCTAAGGGACAGGGTACGCAGCTTGGGAGTATTCCTTGACCCTGAACTATACCTGGGATCCTTCAGCTAAAGCTGGTCCATAGCTGCAGCCTTACCTGGACAGGACAGGCCTAGCAACAGAAACTCATGCACTGGTAACCTCCTGTTTGGACTACTGTAACACACTTTATGTGGGACTGCCCTTGAATACAGTCCAAGCATTGCAACTGGTTCAAAACAGAGCTGCCAGATTGCTCACTGGGACTGGGAGATGAGAACAAATTACTCCAGCCCTATATCAGCTAGGCTGGTTATCAGTTGAACCTGGGACTGATTTACGGTGCAAATGATGACATAGAAAGCCCTAAGTGGTTTAGGGCCTGGCTGTCGAAGGGAATGTCTCCATCCATATGAGCCTGCCCAGCCATTAAGATCATGAGCAGAGGTCTTCCTTTGGGAGCCTTCCTTGAGAGAGGTGAGGATGGCCAGTACAAGCAGAAGGGCCTTTTCTGCCATAGCACCCCAATTGTGAAACTCACTCCAAAGAGGTGTTCCTGGAACCAATGATTTATCTGTGCCGGCACCAGGCCAAAACCCTTTTATTCACCCAGGTTTTTAATTGTTAATTGGTTTTTCAATTTTTATATCAAGTACTGGCACTAAGGAATTTTTAATAATTGGTTCATCGCTTGTTTCTTATTTTTTTTGTGTAAACCATCATGAAATGTTTAATGAATGATGGTATTTTTAAAAATTAAAATAAAATAAATGCAACACCTCAGGGCAGTGAGTGGAAAGCTATGTGCAGTGTCAACTGCGGTGAATATCTCATCAGAGGTCTGTGCTCAGGTCCGTCTGTGTGGAAGCGGAGATGCTGCAGGAGTGCCGGGATGCAGGACCTGTGGTCCAGGGAGAGGCGCATGCAAGTGGCGGGGCCCACTCACTTCTCTCTGCAGTCCGCCGCCTCCCCTTTGCATGGTTGTCAACATACACGCAGCTCAGGCACAAGTGGGGGCAATTCTGCCCCCTCCTCCGTTCAACGTGCCATAAATAGCTCAACGACCTCACGCTCGGCAGGCTAATATAAATTAATGTGCGGGGGGTGGCGTGGCACCCTGAGCTTGGGTTTTATCCGCACAGCTGGGCCGAGGCCAGGCCAGTGCAAGATTACAGAGTCTGCTCAAGTTGGAGACACACTGTGTGCTTAATTAATTGTGTTTAAAGAAGGGAGGCCACCAGGGAGTGCTGTGCTCTCCTCCCAGAGCAGCCTACGCCATCTGCAAACAGAAAGCGCACCACACACCTGTTGAGCCAACAGAAAAACTCATTATTCTTCTGGATAGCCTTCAACTGCTCTTTGCCGAGTGCAACTCTCATTACTTTTCAGGAATACAAGGGACAGTGGAGGGTTTTGTCAAAGGGTTGGTGGAGAAGCCCATGTTTTACCCAGAGCCTATCTTTTGATTCTGAAGGAGGATGTGGGAATGATGCTTAATGAAGTCATCAGAACAGAACGCTGGATTGCTACTAGACTGTGGCCTGGCTCAGCTTGCAGGGTTAACATGCCGGGACCTTTTGACTAGTTGGACTGAATACACATTCTGGCACACCTCTGAACTTGCACACAATCCACACACCACAGGTGGAGGAAAACAAGTTTCCCCGAACACAAGGCTGTTGCAGTAGCAAATTTCCTGGTGACCTGGCCTGGGATTAAGACCAAGTAACTTCACAAAGGACCAGATCCTGATGGAGAAATGGAAGCTGCTAGGAGAGGTTTATTGATTTGCAGACAGAATGTTTCTCCAGATGCTGGAAGAGGAGCTCCTGGCAAATCTTGAGCTGGTGGTCTTGGAAGACATCCTGTGGGCTCTTTCCCGCTTTTGGTTGCAATCTCAGGTCCTTCCTTGGGGGGATTGTTGCAACAGGTACTTGGACTTCAGCATAGAGCAGAACCCGACTGGTGTTTTCCCTCTCTACTTGAGGAAGTGCATCGGCCCACAGGGCCAAAGCTCATTTCCAAAGGGGGGAACAACACAATCTCTGCAAATTTCCCCAAGGACGTTACATTCCAGTGCTCCCAACCCCACACGCAGCACTGCGTTTCAACCCTGTAACACTCCTCGTCAAGTGTTACGGCAGTTCGGCGGTGCATCTCACCGGGGGAGCAACAGTGCATCGAAGGAGAAAAGCCAGCTTGCTGGCTGGGCCACTCTGAGTCGTAGGCCATTTTTCTGCCTAAACTTGCATGGTTTGTGCCCTTAAGTCAGATCACTCGCTCTTTCTCTGCTTGTCCTACCTCACAGGGTCTTGTGAAGGCAGCATGTGAGACGGAAGGAAACAGATCCTTCTGCCCTCTCCGCTTTTCCTCATGTCTGCCCAGCAATGTAAGCAAGGCAGGTGGTGCTCCAGGTCTTGCCAAGTGCACCCTCCAGATGCTTCGGATTCCAACTTCTATCAGCCACATGCAGCACGGCCAGTGGTCAGAGATTAGAGAAATTGTAGTCCAAAACATCCGGAAAGCACCAGCTTGCTTACCCGTGGACTATAACTTCTGGAGAGCTCTTGGTTGGGGGAAGCCTACCTGGGATCAAGACTCATTGAAATCAATGGGGTTTACTTCTGAGTAAACACAGTTGCACAGTAAAGCTTCCCACAAGAGACAAGAGCCCTAGTTCTGTGGTTGGAGGGCAGATTCAGCGCCCCTTCCTCTGCTAGAGTCACTGGCTAGCCTAGCAGTATGATCATACCCCACACCAGAGGGGACTGTGTCCCCAGAGATTCCCCCCCCCCCGCCCCCCACAGCAGGGAGCTTTGCTAGATGCTTGATTTTCAGTTGTGCGTCTTCCTGGGAAAGGAGGAGCCATTTCTCCCCATAGCTGTGACCTGCAGCCTCTTTCCTTCCAAGCCATAAGCCAGGTCCAAGCCATTCCTCAACTTCGCAACTAATAAAAATCCAGTTCAAGTCCCTGTAATTAAGACTTAAGGATAAGAGGAATGGGGAAAATATAATTACAGATTTTATTGCCCAGCCCAAAGCCACCCATAGACTTCAAGTCCAAATCCAGCCCAGTCATACATCTGAGTGGCCAAGCCCCACTGATTTCCATGGGTTTTACTCCTGGGTAAGTCTCGATGCAGGATCATGGCCTTAGGGTGTAATCCCGCATGCCCTTATATGTCAGTAAACCCCACTGAACCTGGTAGAGCTTGCTTCTGAGAAAGACATGTATAGACTTGTACTGTGAGCAGGAGTTGGCTTGGTTTTAGCTACACGATACTGGCCAGAGTTAGAAAATAATTGAAGTGCAGCGAATGGACCTGCCCTGGGTTGCTGGCAGTGATGCTCTTCCCCCAAACACTCCATTCCATCTCCAGCTTCTTGAGAGAGGAGGGCTGCAACAGCCAGTCTGGATTCCGTGCCCACTCTCTTGGGAT